TCTCCTGATTCTAATGATAGTGGTATTCAATCAGATTCCAGATCAGAAGCTGGCACCCCTCACGCTAATGGTGATAATTCTGGTCATCAGAAACAAGGGGAGGAGAAAGGTGTAGATAAGGAACAGGTTAGTAGAGGACATACTGCATTATGATTTTTGTAAGAATAAATTTTACATTGTCAATATTTGGTTGAAAATTGATATTGGAGATTATAGACCAAAATTATGGCAAGTCAGCTTCAGTCAGACAAAGAGTTACCTTGTGTAAAATATTCCAAAAAATCGGTCATACTTGGAAGATGTTGGTGCTTCACATTATTTGATTTCTGCTGAATGTTGATTTTGTATTGGTGAGATTTTTGTTACAAGAGAGCTTTGTTTTTTTTTCCAAATTTAAGTTTGTGAAGGTAAAGTACGGTGTACTCTGTGATATCCAACAACTGAGTATTCCGACATTGTGCGTAATCCAACATCATTTTCTGGTTCCGATTGATTTAATTCTTAGGCTAGTTTAAAAAAATCTGAGTACTCTGACACTCTGTGTATTATGAATTACGACACTTAATCAATGGTCTCGACAATTATCATCAATTAGATAATCGCTTATTTTATTGATAATCCAGATCAAATCACATGAAAACAAAAGATTGCTGAACTAATTTCTGCTGATTAGTCACCGCCAATGACATCGCTTCAAGATCAAGGTCGTTGCCTTAAGACCAAATGGCATTGGTACTTGTATCATTTATTACACTGTTTAGAACAGAAATATGCAACTTGACCATTCTTTGTTACGCGTTATTTCAAAATTCTCAAGCTAACAATTTTAGTCCTGCGAAGCATGCCTGTACTGATGTGTCTCTGGATATGAAACAGCAAATTATTGGAGATTATGAAAAAGTGCCTCGCTCTTGGCAGAAATATTTAGCTATGGAATTTGGTTTACGTTGAACAACAATAAGCAGCATTTTAAAACGTAGAGAAGAATTTAAAAATTAATATAATATTAATTCCAATAAAAAGCGTATGTACGGTAGCTCAAAATATGAACTATTAAATAATAGTAACGTATACAACTGAATGGCCTTTTATCATCGTCTTATTATTAGAAAGGTACCATCTGTAGAATGTTGGTCACTGAGATATAAATAGTAACACGTGGCACATGTTAAAAAATGTCAAAACTTTGAGTACTCTGACACTCTCGCTAATCTGATATTATTTTGCAGTCCTAGTGTATGTCAGATTACGCAGAGTATATTGTATATCTTACCTTTCATTTCTTGTTGAAATAAGTCTATTGATGTAATGTGTCTTTTGGTATTTTATTTGTGTAGAAGGAAGATAAAGTTGATGGTAATGGAGATAAAAATGGTGAAGGAGAAGAGGAAAAGTTACCCAATGGATGGGAGAAATATGAAGGTCAGTTCTGTTAGAGATAAGACACAAAATTTTGAAAGTTTCATAACTGAAAATATGAGAATTGCTATGAATTTTTTTCCTGATCTTATAATTATGTAACTGGTCGTCATTGATTAGAAATTGTATTTCAGATGTTTGCTTGTAATGTCAGATTTTTTTATATCTCAGCTAGATGATCTTCAATACTTGTGTTAACCTACTAAATATCTCAGTATATGAATCATTATGGACTGAATTTTCTCTACAAAATCATATGTTATATTTGTATGTTACAGATGATGATGGACCATATTATTGGCATATTAAATCTGGTACCATACAGAGAGAGCTCCCTTCACCCTCCCAGGGTGATTCTTTACGTTCGGCACTAAGTAAAGAGTTGGTAAGTATTCAGGAGTTACTTATTTTGATATTTGATTCTATATGTAAATTGACTGTCCATTAATCAACAGATCCTGAGCATAATGTGAAAAAGTGTCAAGTTATTCCATGTATAGATCCATCGACATTTGGAAATTCAATATGAAAAGGCTGTAATGAATATTCCAAACAAAACATGATGGATATATGGACTTTTCAAAAGAGTTGGCCTATCAAATGACATTTCTTATGTCTGATATATTCCCCTTGAAATTCTTTAGATATACTGTATATTCCTGGCTGTAGTGCACATTCTTTTACCCTGTCGCAGGTTGGGTTTGTGAATTATTGATAATACAGCGCCTTATTAAACAAACTTATATATATATATCAATTGAAAGAATGCTATCAAACTTGCCTCCGGAAATATAGTTGACTAGAAACATGTAATATAAAATCCATTAAATTTAATCATACTGCAGAAAATTGATTTTAAGATACAAATGTGTTTTTGATAATGATATAATTTTAAAGGTTTTTTGCCAGCTAGTTAATCAATTGCCCCATGACATCCTTAACGTTAATCATTTTTTATCTGTTTATCACTTGATTAGTGTTATTTATTGAGTAATAATCAGCTTGTTAGTGATAATTTTACATCAATAATTTCCTTTGATTTTAAAATAGAATTTTAGAGTATTTCTGCTTTAATCATGGTTGCTAAGTCAAATAGCTTTAGGCACTTTGATAACTTTTTCCAGAAAATCATTAGAAATGAATTTAAAATCATCCCTTTATGGATTAGTAGTAATTGATCATATATCATTCAAGAGGCTTCCCCATTTGAGTTTCATCTCAGTTTTCTTCCTAAATAAATTAAGAATTATAAGTTATATTCAATACTTCAGTGACATAAGTGCTATTCCTGAAATTTGAAAAACATGTTGAAAATCATTGTGGATTTACTGGAAAGAAATAATATAATTGTTTTGTGTAAAACTTATTAAAGAAATAATTACAGTCACCATATTATTAAAATGAACATTAGTTAATTACAGTCAATGAAATTTAAGTCATGACATTTTTCCATGTATGCATCATTATTTTTTACTAAGAGTAATAAAAATAGGTATAAATAATTGTGAAGAACTTGTTAGCCTATCTATAAAAATCATTACTGTCACCATTGTGTCAACATCGTTACTTTTTTATTACCAAATAACACACTTTTCATCATTTACTTTTAATATACTTCTCCACAATAACATCATAACTACATCTTTAATATGGCTGCCATACCTCAAGTCAAGCGTTTTATTGTTTAATCAAAATCTCAAAGGAGGGTTGCTGGAGGACGAAAACATTTTTTGTCCAATCAAACTGTGGTTTAGTGTTTGTTCAAACTTGTGGAAGAAAATGAATTGATATTGAGAAACCTGGTCTAAACTTATTACAGTTTGTTACTGTATGACTCACAATCAATGCCATGAATTTCTCAGGCAATATTCTCTATTACAACTTACAAATCTTCTCACCTCACACTTGTCATTACATTAAAACATCATCTTATTTACTAATCTCTATTGTTTTAATATAAATATCATTCAAGTTTTCAAAAAGATGTTGAGGTATTATCTTGAGTATAATGTTCCACTTAAAGCTCAATTTGAATATTTATATTTTTAAAATATGGATTCTGATCAGACATTTCTAAAATGGAGATCTATATGCTTAAAATAAGATAAGCTGCATAAAAGTACAATGTAAAAACAATTTCAATAGCTTGCATTAACCAGCTTTGGTTGAAGAGACATAAATCTTCTTTCAAATGTTTTTCTTACTTAAATGTTTAAACAACATAATGATACCATATTTAGATGATTCAAACCATTATGAGAAGGTTTCATAAGAAATATTAGAAATGTTAGTAATTGAACTGATATTGTCATATACCTGTCATTATTGTCAGTTATATCAGTGTTATTTGTGAATATTTTACATGTTTTAAAAGGTTTCTGATGATAACTACTGATATTGTGTAAGGATTGAATCATCAGTTATTGTCAATGATTTACCTTCATACAGGACGAATCACAGACTGTTCTGACATCCTCAAAAATCAGGATGGAAATGTCAGGGTTCAGAAAAAATTACATGTACACTTCAATTTAATATTTCCAACTTGTCATTTATTTTTGTCATTTTCCAAAATAGATAAAGGGTCAGGATTGGAAGTCTTGAATGAATTGATGTCACTTACTTAGGAAAGAACCATGGAAATTCCAATGTCAGATTTTCATTCTGAAAAGTAATAAGGGTGACATTAACCCTTTTAACCCTGAGTGTAATGAAATAAAGCATCATATACCCTGAACTCCAAGTAATATAAGTTAAAGCGTATGACGTTAACATTGTGTGATGTCACTGGGTAACAACTCTGCCATACATTACATAATTATTTGGCGTGTAAACCAGGTTCAAGGATTGAAAGGGTTAAGCTGAGCCCTTAATGATATTTATTGCAAATAATTTCCTAACTTAATATTCAAAAGATATCTCAATTGTTTTAATTGTCTATTGTAGAGTAATCACAGTCTTAGTTCAATCCCATCAACCCCTACTAGTCTATCATCATCTAATACTGATGACCATCTACAGGAGTTTGAAGGTCACGCTCTGCAGTATGCTGCCAAATCTTTACAGAGTCTGTAAGTATATCATCAAGCTCTGCTGCGTCAATATCTGGGTATATATGTGGTACTTTTCAACTGATAGATTTTCTCTAGTTTCTTCCTGTGTTTACAAGTGATAAAGTATGTCAATGAAAAACATAGCAAAATGTAGGATTGGATAAAATCTGATGGATGTTTTTGACATATAGACACATTAAGTATGATGGGTTGCTCTGAAAGAAATTTTCTTGTTATTTAAAGGTTATTATTGGTGCAAAATGACAAAGGTCATATTATAACATATGTATACATCTCTTAACTTCAATGCTGTTTGGTTTTAGAATTCTTTATAGCCTTGCAGGTACCAGCTTGCTAACAACTGAACTATCTCACAGATTCATTATTTCGATTTTACAGCACCTTATCTCTCGGCAATTCCAACACACTACTGTTTGGTTCATTATTTGATGATTGTATTTCAGAGTATCACAGACTCCAACAAGAGATGTATCAATAGATGGTAGTAATGGAGAGAAACCAATACGTTATGCTGTAAGATCATTAGGTTGGGTCAGTATAGCTGAAGATGATCTCACACCAGAGAGAAGTAGTAAAGCTGTTAATAAATGTATTGTAGATTTATCATTAGGTAGAAATGATATCAATGATGTTGTTGGACGATGGGGAGATGTAAGTTTGTTTTTCTTCTTTATTTGTTATATATAATATATATATATATATATATAAGAAGAATTATGTAGGTTGACGGCCTAACCAAAACTTATTATGTCTAGTTCATAACTATCAGTGTAACAAATAAATGGCGTTACATAGGATAATAGGAGTGTGATACAAATACCAATAGCTTAGTTGCAGCTTATGTATGGGTTAATTTTTTGGAAATTATGAAATATGATATATCACACTAGTATTGTATATCAAATGTTGATTTTAAGTGTGTTTGTGTTTTACAGGGTAAAGATTTATTCATGGATTTAGATAGTAAAAGTTTAAGATTGGTGGATACCCAGGATTTTACCATCCTCAACTCTCAACCAATACAATCTATTAGAGTCTGGGGTGTGGGGCGAGATAATGGAAGGTAAGTTTACAAACATTCCAAACACCTACTGACTGGATGTTACAATCAGATATGCTTTTATTTTAAATCATAATTACAGATGCATTGCATCTGGTGTACTAAATAGAAAGATAAACTAAATTATAGATTATTTAGCTCTTTAAAATGGATGTTAAGTTGGTAATCACAATCATTTGTGATTGAGTTTTTTCTCGTCATACTCAAAGGAACATAAAGTTATGTTCTCTTTTGATAATTTCACTGAATAAAATCTGTATATGATTTATTTATGCTATCAGGGAAAGGTAATTGCTAAATGTTTCATCAGCCATTACCATTTTCAGTTGCTTATTAAACTACGTTATTAAATTAGTCATTGATTTTATTATGATTATTGTCATTCATTATCACTTATTATTCAAGATCATCAAATATTGTTATTGTCATTCATGATCATTTTCATCAACAATCATTATTTCACATTATTACTATTATTCATTATCATTCCTTTTCATATCATTATGATTCACATTTCTTTTATACATTACCATTTAATCCATGGACATCTTGTTGTTCATCATCAACAAACGTCATTCTAGGTATAATAAACATATCATCATGGATATTGTTATTATGATTTGTTAGTCAATTATTAGTAATTTTATCATTTTATGAAAGTTTATTTCATAGATGGTGTAATGAGCATACCACTTATTTGATTAATCATAAAGATACATATTATTATTATAAAATAATTTCATTATAATGGCAATGCATTCAAGGTTATACATTTATCAAATACAATACTTATTGTATATTGTGAAGAATCAAATGATTTTCTCTCATGTGTATTCATATTGTACAGATTATAATAAGATTTACTGAATACTTGCAAGAATTGTAAAACCCGATTCTGATGTAAAAGTGAGTTTTAGAAGTTTCTGATTTCAATGTTATTTTTATAATATTACTCTCTTTATTCATCTTCACAGAGATTTTGCGTATGTGGCAAGAGACAAGATGTCAAGACGACATATGTGTCATGTATTCCGATGTGACAATCCAGCTAGACAGATAGCTAATACATTAAGGGATATCTGTAAGAAGATCATGTTGGAAAGAACCCTACAGCAAACCACCATGAAACTGAACAGACCAACTGATCTACCAAATCTAGAAAAAATGGGTCAACCCAATGGACAGAAAATGTCATTCTCTTGTAAGTTGTGAATGTCTTTTGTATGATGTGGTTTCTTTTGAAGTTCAATATCAATTGTAGTTACACTGACAATTACTTCTTCTGTCTGTGAAAAGGATACAGTTGCCAATTTCAGCTATCCATAACACTTTTCAGTCTTATATTCCAGCATATTGGTCTCCTTCAATTCAAAGAAACCAAAGTATTGAAGTCAGATTTTAATTGTTAATCTGACACTTAGACTATCAGAAGAGAATAAACAAGATAAATAACAACTAATTTTTCAATTGAATATTGAAATTAAGATATAATTAAATTTCCATTTTAGCTGTGAATTTTCCAACCCCAATGGAAGAACCTAAGAAGTCTATAAGATGTCATTATTTAGGGACAGAAATTGTTCCAAGAGCAACTGGTGAGTTGTTATAATGTACAACTTGTTATTCTTTCTCTATTCTGATTGATGAAATCCTACGGAAAAATTGCTTAACAAACAGATACAAATGAAAATTTTCTGTTGTGAATAGAATACAAGAAAGAGACATCGGGTTTGTTTCCTTACTACATTTGACCATCATTCAGTGAATACATTGTAATTCTATGTTTGGTTCCTCTGTAGGAATGGAGATGTTAAATCTAGCTGTAAATAGAGTCTATGATAGAGTTCCACCAGAAAGATGGCATTTTGTTAATGTCTCCATAGCTCCTTCTACTATTACTATTACTGAAAATGGAGTAAGCTTATTTTTTTAACTTTCTTTTAATCTATTTATTATTTATGATGATTGCAAATGTCATATAACTCATAAAAAAAGGAGTACAGTTGGTTTGAATGTTTGGACGTCAATACTTATCTCTTACCTTGATTTGGAACACCATCTTTTGTGGCATTGGAAAGTCTCATTCAGAAGCTTGTTTAATTGTTGTCTTCAAGGTGAATATGTGTTGCCTTTGCATTCGAGATTCGAACTGTTGATGTTTTTTAACCGGCAGAGATCTAACATAAGTTATCTGCAATCATCTGGTAAAATGATAAATAAAGACATTTCTCTTGATTAACATGTATTTATATATTGTAGAATCCAGAGAATAAGTTAGATGAAATCCGAGTGAGATTCTTATCCTTCATGGGTATAGCAATGTCAAATGTCAAGTAAGTTTATTTTAATACTCTTTATAATGATTGCTCTATACTCTTTCAGATCAATAGATATTTAGCTCAGACTGGGTAACTGAAGGTGACTGGTTTGACATCCATTGAGTTGATTTAATCATCTGGGGAATTCTCTGAATACAAACTGAATCTATAATTTATTTGATGATTTTTTTTTTTTAGGTTGTGTGCATTTGTAGTACATACAGCACAGAACTTATTTGTAGCCCATGTATTTCATTGTGAACCATCTGGTGGCCCTTTGTGTAAAACTATAGAGGCTGCTTGTAAGGTAAGATCTTGAGTTTAATCAAAATTATATCTGAGATGCCTCTCAGACAACTACGAAATCTGAATTTAATCAAGTTAACTTCATCTAGTAATTAGTAGTAAAAAAACGCCAATAATAATCCTTTCGATCTATTTACAGCTAAGGTATCAGAAATGTATGGATGCCCACCCACAGAGTCCTAAAACTCCACCTAGTCAGGGCAAGGTAGGTAACTCTTAAATATCTAATTAAATACAAATTTATTCACTTATTTATTTTCCTAAATGAATGAATTTATATTCTCAAAAACCAGAATTTTGCTTTAATATGAATTATTTACATGTATATTTTATTTATGTGTCACTGTCACTTGCTTATATATTACACATTTTGTTTCTATATTGATTCAATTATTATTTACTATTATTATGTATATGTTTATGAGCATTGTTGTATTTGAAACAAAATCTGTTAAAAATGCAATGTGGTTATTTCATCTGTAGATGAATAAAAATGATAAATTCTTCTTTCAAATGAGTGTATATCTTTTCTTGTATTAATGAAACTTGATAAAACCTTCTCATTTATAAACCACATACAAAAGTTGATGTATTTGGAAATGATCTAATATCTTTAACGGGATCATTACTTGTATGGCAGTCCCCTATAAAGCAGAAAAGAACATATAGATCTGCATTTGCATTATATTTATTTGAAGGGAATGTTCTGTGACATGGCAATTGGCTTCCAATACTCAGAATTAACCTCAGATAACTAACTTTGAAGTTTTATTACCTGCTTGGCCTTAAATTGTTTGTTTGATTAATCATGTTACAATAATCACAAATTTCATTGAATCTTTTATCTTGGGTTATTTTGAGGAATAATTTTTTTTTTCAGCAGAACATCTCTTTTACTTTATAATGTATATGTTTATTTGATTTTTTTTTCTTAAGCCAATACAAACCATATCTCAAGTACTACTACCTACTAATCTGACAACTACAGTCAAAGCTGGGGTCACAGCTGGTGTACAAGGGGTCAAGGCTGGAGTACAAGGGGTCAAGGCTGCTAGTGTTAATGGGGTCAAAGCTAGTGTTCAAGGGGTCAAGGCCAGTGTACAAGGGGTTACAAATTTAATTTCTAGTTTTAAAAACAAGAGAAATGGCCCGTCATGAGATACAATATTCTAGGTAACCAATATTTCAGCTGGCTTGGTTGTGGTGCTTTAACCTTACTAACTCCCTTTTCTCGCTTGTCAAAACAATATACATGTAATACATGGGTTTTTTGGGGTATTCTTCTGAAATTTGCTAATACAACATGAAAAAACTTAAATCAAAAAAAGTCTTGATGGTTAAATAGATAGCTAATAGTTACATTTTTATTACCAACTAAACAACACTGCATTTACTTTTGAATTTCTTGCTTCTTTAATTCTATTTACTAATAAAAAATATTCTTTTCCCTTTTTGCGTTTTTCTACTGGCAACTTTTATTAATATATTCATGAATTCTTTTTTTTTTATTATTGTTATTTTGTATGCATGTTTGCTTTATATTTGATTTTACATTACTTTATATCTCAAACTTTGATAATGTATGTGTTTTATTGACAATAAACTATAACTAAATGTAAATTAATTGACAAAATTTAATATTGAAAAAATAACTTAATTTATACAGAAATTTCTATTGGCTTCCACCAATAAATATTTTTTTCTGTTTCAGTCTTTAAAGAACAGTCTACGTTCAGTGATGTGTTCTATTGCTCAGTTGACATCACCAAAATAAAGGGAAGTAACTTACCTGAACTAGACAAATCTATCAACCAATCAAGATTTGTATTATAAATGTTTTAACCAATCACAGTAGTTGTTTTAGCCAAAGCTTTTTGTGATTTTATTATATAATGATGCAGTTGAGTTTCTGCTGTTGCTGTGATGTCACTGCAGGCTACAGCAATGTGATGCGATAACATCAATGTGATGTGACTATGTCATTGTGATGCAACAGTAGCATATTGATGCTCTAATACATGTGATGCTGGTAGACAAGCATAGACAAATATAATATATAACCATTGCCTGTGTTCAATGCATTTATTTATCCAATATTTTATGTCAATAATTTGAGATATATTGTTTTTATCAAGCGGGGTTGAAAATTTTAATTTTTTTACTGATGTCAGTTTATAATTGATACAAAGTAAATCTTTAGTGTTGTGAATTTATTGCATTCCCACCTATTTTGGTGAAATTTTTGATTTCATTATATTTAACCACTTGGGAGCGGAATTGAGATTTTTACCTGATAATTATGTAAATTTTGTCCCATAGTTTTGGAATTATAAAAGATCAATTTCATGTGGTCTGTCTTTAGTTTACAATCAGATGTAAAACCAACAGAGTTTTTTCAGGTCGTGATCTAAACTCGCATAAAGATCTGATAGCAAATTTCCAAGTTGCTTTCTCTCATTTACATAAACTTCAATAGTAAGACATCTTTTGTCATCCATACCCAGGTGGTTAAAAATCTCATTTTCTTGAAAAACTTATGCATAATATTCTTATTTCTCTACCACCAGTACATTTTCTATAAAAATATTTGTAGAGTGATGCTTTAAATAAAAATAAGTTTGAACTGTGTTTAGATAAAGTATGTATATATAATACTATGATAATAATATTAATATAGATGATAATTAGTTGATTAGATGCAGCACACATTACTATATATTTAACACACAATATTGTTATTCCTATACTTCTCAATTTCATTATTCCAGTTATCTCTGCTACTACCTTGTAGTTGTGAAGCTTTTCAGAGAATGTTTGATTTGCTGGCACCTTACTAGGAATTGCAGACTGTGAAATTTGAAGAAAAAAAACATACTCTTAAACAATAAAATTTGTGTAACAGGTTTTGTAAATGTTCTTATTTTAATCTTATTTCTCAGATTAGGAACTTTTTTTGAATATTGTTGGACAGAATATCTACGTAGGGATATTTGAGATTATGGGAAAGAAATTGCAAGGTATAAGCACACCTCATTATTTTAATTTAGATTTTATCAATAATTCTATATTTTATGTTTTATCATCATTTTAGTTCTTGCCTGCCATATTTATGTTTTAGTTTGCCAAAGGTTTGTTTTTGTTGTATTTTTTTAATTTAGTGCTTTGAGTACAGTCAGTTCTTATTAATTCAGCTTGCGAAACTTTAATGTTAGTTAAAAAATATATTTAGGAATTACAGATTACAATTTTGTCAGTTAAAATATTTTGAACCTAATGCACATGTTTCTTCAAGGTTTTCCCTTACCATTTGGGTAAGTCAAAAAACTAAGGTTTCAAGTCTGAAACATTTCAGTGTTTAATTGTATAAATATGCCTTACCACCCAGTTCATTGAGTCTCACCCTTGCATAATTTAGCTACATATGCGCATAATTGATAGAATATTAACATTAGTTAAATGCTGAGGTATAATAAGTGTATATCATAGATTGTTTCATTTCAACATATCATAGTTTTATAGTAGTAGTGAATATAGTAGTAGTGACTCAAAATAATCCCCTGGCATAATCAAATGGATTCCGCTTACCTCTTTTTTTCATCCCTCATCTTATTATATAGAACTGTATAGATAATGCTACACCAAGTTGTATGTCTGCTTGTCACATAATGTATGAATAAGGCAGGTCTCTTCTCTCTCTTTAAATTAATTATATTTCTTAAGAAATTGGTAGATATTTCCAAATCAAACGAATCCTCTACACAATCTCTAATTTAATCAAAATGATTTTATACAAATTTAGACTTTGTCTGGTACAAATATGATATTGTTATGAACAATTTACAGAAGTATTTTACACTATTCAGGTCTTTTTTTAACCTTTTATTTGAATTTTATGTTATTCTTTCAAAAAGCCATGTATTTTTATGCTTATATTTAATTTGCAACTAAAGTTGTTATAATCATTGTTATGGATATTTTATTATTTGTAAAAATTTATTTGTTACTATTTTAAGTGATCATCTGAATGTGCTTTTTGTGATCAAACATTTGTACAAGTGTCAATTTTACAAGTTCAAGGTCATTTGGTTTGAATATTGATGAAAGCTGAGTGAGAGGTCTGTTTGATTGCTTAGAAATACAGATCCAGATTTTGTATTTGAATGTCATTCTCTTGTGTAATAGCTTTTAAAGCTTTTCGACAAGGTGAAGTTCATTAGATTTTGCTGAAAAATATGATATGATCATCTTTAAGTCAAGCAGAAGCTAGAGGTTTTAGCTGAACTGGTACTTTGATCAGAAAGTCAGTTGACCAACCATTTTAAAACTTAAACACAGAGCTAAATATTGGTTAAAGCTTTTTCTCTAGTATTTTGCTAGAAACATAACAAAAATACAAGAAATGTCATTGGATCTGGTTCCTGAAAATCATGTACTAGACAGATTAAGTTTGAAGTTTCCATTTGCAAAATAACTATAAGCAAGAACTAGAAAAATAAGTTGACACCATTTTAGAAATATTGTGCTTTATTGTTTGACATAGTCTAGCTTGAGTTTACAATGAAATCTTAAACAAAAGGTAATATTTGATAGAATATTTACAGTTTCACAATTAGTCTAGTTAACAAAAACCTACACGCCAACATCATTATGATCAACATTCCCTTCTGTACAATGGGGACAACTTTAATGGATCCCAATGACAATGTTGTTGCTATGCAGATGACCTTGACACTGAAATATTTAAGCACTGAATTCATTTTAAATCATGATTATAATAAAAGAGTATTCGAATACAATTTGTTCTATCTATTATGTTCTCTTGAATTAACATTCATTTATTTCTGGTGTCATTCATTCCACTAAGGAGGAAAATTTGAATATTGTGAGAAGAGCACTATCAAAATTCATTATAGTCAGAGATTGCACCCTCCACCTTCGGGATGGTTGATCACCTTTATCAGTAATAACCTACCTCTTAAAGAGTTGTTAAAGAGACTGGTTTGCCACTTTCGGTGGTTGATTTAGGAATAGCCTATAATTATGTAAATAGTGTTCAGAAGTACTAGAAAAAAAATCGCATAATTCCGTAAAAAATACCTTTAACTAGGAATTTTACTTTCTATTTCTATACATGTTTCTATAGGCCTACATGTATTTTCTATATATGGCAGAGTATCAAAAATGACGAGTTGTCATTTTGACATTCAAGCGCGGAATATTCTGGACACACATACTGGTTTGTTAACAATAGTAGGCCTATTGATTATCTTAGCTAAAAAAATTCTTGTTTCTAGGATTAAAGTGCAATTCGTCAAACGGATGGTTGCCACAAATTAAACCGAAGACAGAAACCCCTAATAAACATAACCAATTCTGTGTTGGTAATTTTCCACTCTTGGTCTTGGCCTACTGAATGAAAAAGCAACAAAGCAATAAAATCTGATTAAAGAAACCAAGACCCTCTTACCGTGTCTCGAGAGTCAGGCGTGATAGATGCATGTGGACTTGTAACTTCCTTCCACAAATATATTGTTAATCTTATCAGGATCTTCTCCACGATCACTTACATTACATAAGCGCATTAAAAACATATTAATTAATGAATCTTATTAACCCTTTGATCATTTGACATTGCCGTTGACATATTAACCTTCACCACGAAGATTATGACAAATTATTCAAATTTTGTTAATTTGGAACAATGCGGATATAACATAGGGTTTGTTCTTGGGATTACTCTGAAAACAAATAACATTACAAATATGCTTATGTTTACAATAGTTCACGACATTGATTATATTATGATTCCTAAAGTTCGTGCAAAAATAAACCAATGGTGACTTGAGACTGGTACCCCCTCCCCGCCGCACTTTTAAATCTAATATCATTTAACATACCCAAAAACACCTGTGAGCCACCCCGTCCCCCTCTCTTTTTCACCGTTCTTAGGCCACCCAATCCTCAACTATTAACACTGCCACTCATGTAATCATTGTAAATGTAATCATTTTCAATTATTTTACATTAATTTTTGCAAATTTAGATTCTTGTGTAAAGGTGAAGTTAATATAAAGAAGGAAGGTTAAACTCAGTTGAGGAGTTCTCCATCGTAAGACTGTGTAACATTCATAGCCTATGGTGAAACTAGATTACACTATTACTATGATCAACTTGTTCTGGTCAAATTAAAACTTCATTAGTTAATTAATTGGGGGCGTTTTATAGTGGGTATATAAACGTTCAGATTCTGGATCAAATCATTATCGATCTACATCTCTCAACATGAACACCATTCAAGTTTTCACTGTACTAGCTGTCATCTATGTCAATGGTGTCTTCTCACAATTTCCTGGATTTGTAAACAGAATGCCGATGATGGCATCGAACACACCTTCAAGAAGTATGGGATCCAGATATCTGACCTGTATCGGTCAAACAGCCAACAACGATCAACTTCGAGTTACCTTCTCTAATCACCAGAATGGCCGAGCTGTCAAAGTTCAAGCTAACATTCAAGGAGGACTCAGCTCTCAGATTAATGGTAACTTCCAATTGGTGATCACTAATGGCGGCAGAATTGATGGTATGTGTGATTCTAATTCTCTTGGTAACATAATGACTATGGCCTCCAACCAACCTTCCAGAATGGGATTCTTTAGACAAATGGGGAGACAACAACCAAGCCAAAACTCACAATTCCTTACCATTGGTTCTCAATTCGGCCTCCGATCTGACCAGTCTGTTAGTATGACCGATATCTTGTCTGGCATCACCTACTCCAGACTTGCCGGAAGTGGTATGGCTCTGTGTCAGAGTATCGTCAGTAACCGATGTGTCGGTAGCATGCCACTTTGTTGTACCATTGCTAAAGATGGGAAGACCGCTGCTCCAACTCTCTCCCGAGGTTTAGTTGGTGGTATTGGTGGAAATCAAGGATTTGGAATGAATAATGGTATGAACGGGGGAATGAACAATATCAACGGAGGCATGAACAACTTGAACCCCAATAACAATGTTGCTATGGGAAATGGTATTCAAGGTAATGGGCAGAATTCTCTCGTCTTCCCTTAAATATCAACATGCATAAGCGCCGAAGAAGAAGCAATTGGTCTGCCTGGGGAATATACAGTTACTAGCTATAAAAGTTATTTGTTCAAGAGTCATTTCAATGGGTAATGCAACATTGGATTGTGGGTGGGTATGAAAATTCGATACAACTAGATATCGCTGATAGGAAAACATGTTTGCTATTCATTGACAGGGAAGGGTGGAAATTCGGCATGGTAAGGTAGTTAAGTGGGGGGGGAGGAATGGGTAATTTTGGTGTTCGGAAAACATATCTTTAATATCAAATTTGTATATAAAGGAAATTGTATTGTATATAGAAATGTGTATTTGTATTTGCTTTTCTTTTATAATGGTAGTTATGGAAGTCCCAATGTACATAATATTTCAGTTTTCTTATTTCTCTATATATATGACAAATCTATATATATCTTTGCTGTAAATCTCTTCTGACAATGAAATTATAAAAATGTTTTTATATTCATATTATAAACAGAATTTAAAGTTTTCTTTCAAGTTTTTCCATTTGCCAGTCAAACTAAAGCAAACAAAGGCTTACAGAATGCATATAGGCAACAACCATCATACTGTATCAGGTTTTATTATAATTTGTTACTTGATGCTTTTTGCTGTGATTAAAACGTATCTGAAAGAACAAAACAAGTAATTGAACTCTTCTGGACATATCTCCTGCTTCTGAATGTAGTCCTATTTATATTATAAATATTCTCCCGAATATTTCCCTCGCTCAACCTTTTGAGATGTAATCGAAGAGGAAGAGTATCGAAATTATGCATAAAGTCATTTGGATATTCCCTTCATTTAAAACACACAATTTGACGAGAAAGAGAAACGGGTTTCTTTTTAGCTTTATGTGAAAGATGGTGATCATTGAACAGAACGGTTGCTGTTGGCCTTTAGTTTTCATGGCATGAAAGATGGAGTCTACCCCTAAAATTGCTCACGTCATAAACTTTATCATTCTGACATGTAAGCCTAACATAGCCTCTGATTCGCTAAATGTAGTTAATGATTGATATTACATAATATAAGCCACTCCGAATGAGTCAAATTGGCCAAAGTAATTCAGATGTAGAAAACTGTTATGCTGGTCATCCAGCATGCTGTACAGAATAAAATATTACTATACTCACCACATTCTTTAGGTTCATCAGCACCATCATCACAATCTAGTTCTCCATCACAAAACCAATCATTGGGTACACAACTTCCATCACATTTAAAATATCCCTCTTTATTGCAGATCATATCAACTATAATATAGTATAGAATGTATTGTCTCCGAATTGTCTAAATTAATTAAAGTACAATGTTTATTGAAAGGCGTTCATATGGAAATAAAGTCGCATAAATGGATAACTAGATAGAAAAGAAGATAAATGAATAAAAATAATAAACAAATAAACAAAACTTACTGCAAGCATCGGCCGATTCGTCACTGCCGTCTGAACAATCCGGTTTTTGGTCACAAACGTAGTCATCTTTTACACAGCCGCCTCCAAAACATTGAAATTCGTTTTCATTGCAAGACTCTGGAGGAGATGGAGGAAATGTTTATGTTTTTTTTTAAAGAGGGTGCCCCACAATAAAAAAGCCACGCCACATCATACGCTGAAAATTTGCTGAGAATTGATGCGCTGTATTATAGTTCGGAATACATCCTCAAAATATTCCACAAATGAATGGAAATTTAATCTAAATCGGTTGATATTTTAAAGTTAATTTTCCCGGAGAATAGCTATCTATATTTTACTTACCTTCTAAGGCTGCATCGATACCCCATCCAAACGTCAAGAGAACTGTAATACCTGCAAGTATTTCGATAATGAGCAGAATGTCAAAATTAAGTGATTAGGGTGGTTGAGAGGATGCTGCTAGTTAATATTGAAAGGATAAAAGGATGAAAACTTATTCAACAGAGGGCACTGTTACAGGGTTAAAGAAATGTTCACTATTGTTAAGGCTAGTATGTTAAAGAGCAAATTCGTAGTACTCTAGTTTTGAAAATTTAACTCATAAAAGAATGATCGCTGGTGATATAAATATAAAGTCTGGTCACCTCAGCAACTAGCTCTAGTACTTACACAGGTATATTGCTGACATAATAATTCTTGCCATAGTTTAAAGTTTTTTTTTTCTGTAAAGAATGCAACAAAATATACATTATTGAATATGTTGCGTAATATTCAACAAAGGGGTGTGTCCTGCTTGTATGGAATTTTGTGTGAGTATCTGTTCTGCTACATGGCTGATTCCTTTGCATAATATGCAGAATAGTTTTTTCAAACACCAAGTGCCTTATTCATCTATTAGACAATTACAAAAGTTTGTATATATATGGTCTAAAGATTATAATATAGATCTGTACTTACTTCCGTGATGCTCACCGCAATAGATGCCCTCTGCTCGAAATGAAAATTCACTATGAACGACGTCAAGTTACTTTATCGGCTTGCAGACTTGATTGTCAAACATTTATTCCATCATGACATTTAAACAGAGTCATTTTCCGCCATTACTTAATCATCAAAATTGAGGTTTATAGTTTTAAGAATTGAAAAATTATCACCAAGCCTAAAATTATTCCAATTCATCGAAGAAATAGAAATGTCAATGAATGTCAATGTGCTACATCTGTTGACAATTTTGATAGTTTTAAGGGTTGAACCAAGTGATTGGATAAGAGATCAAATAACGCAAAATGATTGGTTAAACATTTTTAGGAAGCCGAATTCTTGTCTTCACCGTTCATTTCCTGGCATATTAAAAGTTTTGCAGTTTTCCAGCATTTTAGTACATTTATCACATTTCAACCAAACATTACAGTCAAGTAACCTTATTTCGTGGAAACCTATTATTCGTGGATTTCCGGAAATGATTAATAATTTACATGAGCGACCTTGAGCGACCTTCGCATTAGTTTGTTGTAATAAACATGGGTTTTCTGTAGCCTACAATATCAGCTAATAGAATGAATCCAGTAGTTTCAAGCAAGGTAAAATGTATTAATGTATACTTTGACAAATACAAAATGGCGGATTTCAGTTATTACCAAACGTCACCATTTTTTATCGGCCGATCGAATTTCCTTATAATCCCAAGCGGTAATCGGAATTCCAAGTGTCGTCTGCTAGAATGTAGTCTAACGAATGAAGTCACGTGATCAACTAGCGGATTCCGTGTCAGCAGAAAATTTCTATGGAACACAAAGTGGACCATATTCTTATGTTGTTTCAGTGACTTTTAGCAATAAATCACGCTACGTATTTTGTCAGTCACTATTTCTTTTTTCGTGATTCTTTGAAGGAATTGTCACTATAGTAATAATGAATTGATATTAAAGATAAATACTAAGAGAAGTTAATTATACCACCCGGTATCCATACAACGTGTTTTTCTAGACTTATAATTTATAGATCAAACATTGTACACGAAAATAGGTGTGATTATTCAAGCAATAGCTGATTCTTCAGGTCAGATTCATGTAAACGACTCTTCTCCAGTGTCGTTTATACGACACTGCTGCTCCACAGAGTCGTATATAGAGATATACGGCTCTGCTGCTCCAGGTGTAATATATTTGTTGTCCGATTCAATGTCAGATTATCTCCCTTACAAGCTCTCTAACATTAGAAGGTAGAAAAGGGTCATGTTATTAAACAAAAATCTCGTGACTAGCTTAGTTCAAAATAACATATTAAATCCCCTAAATATGATGTTTATGCTGATTTCGGGAAGTTTGAAAGAGGATTTTAGCTAACAACCATCATGGTCAGTTTGGGAAATGACTCAAGTCATTCAAGACATTCTGGTGTAAGTAACTACATGTACTACGGTACGCAATCTGACATTGAATCTGACAACAAATAAATTACACCTGCTGGAACTAGTGGAACAGCAGTGTCGTGTATGTCATCCTCTGTCCCTTGTGTAACTTTTTGATGATATTAACTTAATTAATTAACTTAAGTATGTTTGATTTTACAATTAAAATAGACGCCAGAAAATTCATGTGAAAACAACCTACTTTTTGGTCTGAAAATTCTCTGTAAGTGTAAAATCATGTTTACAACTAATAACTTTTCCAGTGGTTAACATTTCCATCAACCCAAAGACAATCAAAAACTCACAGTAGTATTTTGTTATTGATATTCCAATTCATATGAAAATAATTGCCAAATTTCAATTCAGAAAACAGTGTAGTCAGAGAGGGTATCCAGTAATAACGGTAACACGTCAAATCCGTAACAGATCTATCAAAACAGTAACACAAATTTAGTTAAAACGCTAACAGATCTGCCAAAACAGTAAAAAGATATTTTGGTTGAAACGGTAACAAAATAAAATTTATCCATAATAACTCATACCGTACTCAAAAACAACTCAACTCGATTACTAATTCTCACCTTCAATCCAAGTTATGAAAACATTTTAAATATTATCAAAGCAATTATTGATTAGAGTACAGACAAATCAAGCTCACGACTTTTTCGTCATAATTGGTACTCACGATTGTTGATTAAATTAGATCTACCTACATACCAAGCTTACTGCTTCGTTCCAGTTAGGTTTATACAGTTTACTATTTATATCTCAGTGACCCACATTCACCAGATGGTACCTTTCTAATAATAAGACAATGATAAAAGACAATTCAGTTGTATATGTACTATTATTGGAATTAATATTGTCGGCAAACTTTTTAAAAAACTATTTTTACTGTTTTGGCAGATCTGTTACCTTTTTGTCTATTAAAATTTGTTACCATTTTGACATGTTACGTTTTAACTGGTATTTGTCAGAGAGTAATCTAATTCATAATACTTTCTTTGAAAATAGAGGTGTTAAATCTAAATATGATATGTGTATATAATAATTTATTTTTAGGGTTATTTTTTCCAAGAAGACAATCCAAATGCAAGTGATGATGAGTTGCTGATTGATCATCTAGCTTTATCTAATGATGCAGATCCACCATTTAGAAAAATAAACATCACTTGGGCAATTATTGTGCTCAAAGTTCTTTTTGTAAGTGTTCTTCCCAAGCATACAAAATTCAGTTTTGATATAACCTATGCCAATAACAATAGGAAGTCTAGGACTTAAAATGCCTTTAGTTTGAACTCAACTAACTTCCATCAATATACATCTATATAAACATAATAATATTAGCCTTAATTAAACTTTATAACTGGCATCGAATTTAGAATGAGTGTAGTGACTTCTACTTGATGCCCTACACGGGAGATAACTAGTCCCGACATGTGATTGTTCAGACTACAACTTTGTATATACTGTAAATGTGATGCAAGGTTTCAGTTTTACTTTTTGTTCTATTTTATTGTACAGGCATATTTGTCTTGTTTGTTAAAGTTTTTATTTTACAGGTTTAATGTTCCAGGAATTTATTTTACATGTTTAATGATCCAGAAATTTATTTTACATGTTCTTTTTTTAACAATTACATGAACTGACAATAGTTTATATTTCCAGGTGATATTAATCCTAGCAGCGTATTTGGTGCCAATTTTCTGTGATGGAAATAAATGTGGAACTGATCCATTCTCAATAGTTGTTTATACCCATGGTTCAATGTGGTGTTTGTTGTTAATATTTGATAGATTTTTACGCTATAAACATCATATTAGTCGTCTGCATGGTTACTTAGAATTTTATCGTAAAACTCGACATATCAGACGCTGGCCTTTTACTCTTAATTCAGGAGGTAAGGAAGCATTTTAAGTCCTTATGTGTGCAAAAATGTATGAAAAGCATGTTCATATGTCATGCTGGAATAATTAGCTAATAAATTATAAGATTAACAATTTCATACAAATAACACTTTCACACTGAATTTGACTATTTCTTCAAGCTTCTCCTGAGAAAATACATATTCAAAAACAATTTGTGACTTTAATTCTGCTTTGAATTTTTTTTTTATTTCAGCCAATGCCCTTGCAGTTATAGTAGTCAGAGTTTTAGACAAGTTTTGTAATGCAGAGACCCCATGTAATAAAATTACCAGAGAGAATTATTTACAGATATTAATTACAGTGGAGGTTTTACTGGTTCTTCCTTTCTTAATTCTTTATCTTGGTGGGTATTCTAAATATTAATACTACAGGAATACCATTATACACATAAAAAGTAGAAATTTCTTTTGATTTTGTGTGTTCTTGGATATGATCAACAAACTATGCAAACTGAAGAAAACCTGAGCAAGTGCAGAGAGGAGTAGTTGTTTTGATGGTTAATTTGCAGCTATTTGTCAATGTGCTTCAGGTACAGAAATTTTATCTAATATCGCCAAAAACATTTGACTTGAATTTCATATAAAAATTTCTTGTTAAACCATTTATATATTTTGAAACTAACTTTTAAATCAGATTTTCCACTAACATGAATATTTTTGTAATTTATGTTATGTATTTCAGTTCATACTATAAGATTCAATCGTCAGAAAGCTTATCCTGATGTATCACAAGATGAAATGTTAAATAGTTTTATCCAGTCACAATCTGTAGCCTCTGATATTGGTTTTAAGTAAGTGTTCAGTTTATGTTCTAGAATTCTGTTGCCTTTATGACTTAGAGAGCTAAGTTTTCTGTAGCTAAAATATAATGTTCACATAATTTTGTTTATTTTAGAGATGAAAACTATGTAGACCAAGTGTTAGAGAAACAAGCTGATATGATTCGCTATTTAAAGCAACATAATACACAACTCAGTAAACGTTTAGTGACTTTAACATCTGAGATTAATGTTTTAAAGAACCAGACGCAGGTCAACTCCAGTGTTGGATCCATCAATTGAGACTATGATATACCATATTCCATGAATATATCTTGAATACCGGTATAAGATCTTGTTTGTTTACTATAGTGGTAGGAGATCCATGAAACTATGAGGTCAATGCACAGTATCATAGAGTTTAAGTTGACTTACTAATGGTTTTAAGATATAAACAGCTAGTGGTTATGTGACTGAAGTATAACATTATGTGACTTATGTCTGATATTGGGTTGATCAGTTGATGATACTACTTTACATTTCTAGAGGATGTGTGACTTTAAATCATGTGCTTTATGTCTAGTGATGAATGGATTGAGGTTACCATTATTAAGTCTTGGTGAATTAATATCATGTGAGAATTTAAGCCTAATGATGTATCTATTAAATTAGTTTAATAGTCTGTTAGATTCATCAGTTGATATTATTCTCAACAGACATATTGTGACATTAGCTAGTATAAATTGAGACAACACTAAGAAAAGATTTAATTTGAGGATGGAAGTCATCTGATGTTCAGCTCTAAACGACCAACTCCACGCTACTGATTATAAAAATATTTGAATATAGTATGGTGTCACAGCTTGCTATAAGCTTGAACATTAAGTTATTGATCAATGAAACATACTTTGTTCAAGTGTTATATTAACTAATATGAAAAGACACATTTGATATAGTGTTTTGAGGGAGTAATTCCTATAGTCCAAATGCCTGTATTATCAGTAATGATCAGTTATTTCAATATACCAAAGTCTTTTGATGCATTCTTCTTCGGATATACTTATTAAGCTTGCAAATCGAATATTTATCTCTTAAGTTGATCTTTACAATAACTTTAGATGGTCAAGTTGAAGTATAAATATGTACCAGCCAAACTGAAATTAACATATTCAGTGGTTCAATGAGTTAACTTTCCAAGGACAATAAAGTTTCAGAAACAAGAAATATTTATCTCAGATTCTTCTTTATTATCAAAACCAAACAAATGCTCAAAAAAGGCTTTTTTCAGAAAATATTAAGCTTACGGTCATGGTAAGGATGGTCTAAGAATGGTTTTGCATAGATAAATTTAATTTAAAAAATAAACTTTTGTTATATTCATTTAATTATGAACACACTTCCCTAAAAAAATTCCAATCCAAAACATGTGAAAATAGCCCTCTTTAATAACAAATGTTTTTTGGTTTAATAAGTTATAAAACAACCATCTGATATAATTCACAATTTCATGTAAGCATATTCCAAATTGAGATCTAAATTAAGTTCTGCTGAAATTTGTAAATTCTTGTCTATGAATGGACATTCTGAAACCGTTGGATACCTAGCATTTAAAATTTAAGAGAAAGGCATGATTCCATTGCACTTAAAAATATGTCTGGTGAGAAATTTTATGCAATATCCAAATCCCAATGTTGTAATGAATGATTTAACTGAAAAGTACATGGCTGATGATCATTTTGTATACTATTTGGAATATAATTGTAAAGAGTAGTTTTACTAAATGAAATCATAATTAAAATAGTAACAGTTATTCCAGACTAACATCCCCATACTACACTTTTTTCACCTTATAAGACACCCCCAGTTTACATAAGAATTTTGTGAAGAATCCATCTTTCTGTAGACAAGAACAATCCTCAATATTTGTGCTAGATAATTTATATACTGCTTTATAAATTAAGGCTTCTATTAGTGAGAATTTGTATATCACATGAAAGAGAAAATAAAATTTTACTATATGTACTAATATGTCCTTAAATCATAGCATTATATCATTTTATCATATAGCATTATATCTTATTGCATCGTTGTTTGAATGAGACAAAATCTGACTCTGTGATCCCACTACAGTTTTAAATCTAACAAGGATATATATTGGATGTGCTATCCTGCTAAATATCCCACATTACACACTGCATGGCATTGCCTTAGTTTTGTTAATAAGTAAAACATTAACCAATGAGTTTGTTTATAGACCAATGTGATTATCACACCCTAATGCAATAATAAAATGTCCATTGGAGTATATTACAGTAAAAACAATAAATAAAGTCACTAAATAACAAATATTAGCAGAATAAGGAACTGCGAAGGAGTTGGCTCCCTCATTCAGCCATCTTCAACTGGTCTCTGAGGGGTATCAGTTGAAGGTTGGTCTGTTGCAAAACAGGGTATTTTTGGTGCAATCTCAACAGGTGGAGGTTTAAAGAGTGGTATTTGTGGCATAGTGTCTTGAGATGCTGTCTCCTGATTGGACGATTCTGATTCGTTCTGTTGTTCCTGTACCAATCGTTTTATAGCAACCATAAAATGGTTCACCTAAAACAAACAAAAAACATTTGCATTTAAACTCAAATTTAATGACTTGCAAGAGAACTGGAACCAGTTTCTCAAAAATTCATACGACTGAACATAAACGTTTTTTTGAAGTTATCGATTCCTTAAATTATAACTTTTGCGAATTACAAGAGAACTGGAACCTGTTTCTCAAAAATTCCTACAACGACTGAACTTGCAAGTTATTTTGACGTTATCAAATCCTTAAGTTATAACGTTTGCATTGTATGTTTGTCTACAATATTTTGAGAAATGGGGTCCTAGACATATGATTATAAACATGACTATGTATGGCTGAAATTTAGCTCATCAAATAAAGAACATGTAGGCAGTCAGTGGTGACCAATGCAACAGGCAGTTTTCTTACCTCATGTGTATGGTCAACCATTAAAGATACATGAAGCTGATTTGCTGTTTTTAAATTGTTTTCTTTCAAAGCCAGTAATATATTCGAGATCTTTAACTTCACAGGATCTGAAAGTTTGCCTTCAGACCACAACTCGTTCATTAAACCTAATCTTCTCTTGACATCTTCACCAGCTCGACCCTATAATACAGCATGATTTACATTGCTGATAGCAGAAATAGGTTTACATCATATTATGACTACCAATGAAGTGTAGACATGCAGGGTACAATTACATAAATATAGACACATTGTATTTGGTTGTAACAAGATATACTAGTTAATGAAAATATCTATCTGGAGATGAATTAACATAATTTAATTTAAAATATATGTTTGTGACAAATATTATATAACAAAATCCTAGCATGTAAAAGGCATGAAACTTGATTTTTTTCACCAAATAGAAGCTTAAGAATCATAACAGTATACCTGTAACTTATCTTGTTGTAATTTAGTCACCATTTCATTAAAATGTTTATAAACATAAGACTGTAACTCAGATTGTTCTATTCCTAATTTACTGACTAGATCATTTAAACACTGTTCTCCGGGACAAACAGGGAGAGGGGTAGTTGGAACACATGGGGTAGGAGTTGGAACCAGGGAGGGAACTAACATAGGCACAGGTGTGGGTGTTTCTAGAGTTGTAGCTGGGGGTAAGATTTGAAATTCAGGAGTTAATTTAGGTGGTCCTTGATCAGGATTGAGGACTGCATCTGAAATGATTAATATATTCCAAATATGTCAATAGAATCAGTAATATATAGAGTCGATTGATATAGGATACTGCAAGGATGTATTTGAGAGCCTTGTCTTTTTATTTCTGATAAAAATAAAGTTTACATACATATTTAAGCAAGGGCTTTATAAAAATAACTTGCTAAATGTCAAACAATGATGAAAATTTCTTCAGAACCAAGCCAAACAATTTGAGATTTAAAAACTCTAAAAACAGTTGTGATGTTTTAAACCAAACTCACCTGGAGAAGAAGTAGTGCCACTCAAAGGAAAAGCCACACGTTTATTTAGCTGAGTTTTCTTCTGTGTAGATGCTTCATTGGCAATAGCTATAGGAGATACATAATCAAACATAGGTGGATCATTCCATCCTCTTTCATCATTTCCTACAATAGAAAGTCAGTATTAATTTTAAACCTTTTACTTTGAATGGGTCAGAATTATGTCCCTTTCACTGATGTGCAATATCTGAATTGGAGGTTTAAATAAGATTCCTGATATGTCTAGTCACATTGTAACATTATACATATATATACTTTTTCAATGTTATGTCATGCTGGGTAGTGTACAAACAAAGGGAAGCTTATAGGTGCACAGATAAAATATTGAAAATATCCAACAAGTTTGATAAAATGATAAATCTTAGGCGCCATACTGTATATGAACAAGCACCAAATGTAACACTATTTGAAAGGCCTAACTGCATATCAATTCTTTTTGGCTAGGATCAGCCTGGACCCCTATATAATCCTAGAAATCTGATATTCATTTTGACTTGGAATTTTATCTGCACACACAAATCAAATGGCTGTATCAAAAAGTTTTGTTGTAAAAAAAAGTAGATATAGTTCTAGCCCTAAGTCTATATAATCCCAATCTAGGCCTATCAATTATCAATTGGAATGTATGCATATAGATAGGTATTTGCGCAGTACTATTTCTCTATTACCTTCTCCCAGGTAAAAATTCATCTGTCAGAGACTGTAGAAGCCCAGAAATAATAGGGTTTACAACAGGGATAAGATCGGCTACACATCATAGAAATTGTAATTGACATTATCACCATCATCACGATTCATTTCGTGTTACTGATTGCCCAGACACTTCTTCGTGTTAAACTTCATAAAGCTAATCAAGCACTTACGAAAGAACTTTATTATTTAAAGACAGTAATAAGAAGTGAACATTCCTCTATTTGTTTTTGTTTTTTAAGCCAACTCACCAGGTCTGGGGGCTGCCATTTTGTACACGTGACTAGATTTGTCCAATCAATAAACACCAGATGGTATTTACTGGCTATTAGAATAAATGACCTTACCCCCTGTCTGGATTAATATTAAAATGAAGGAAAAAATTCTTTATAAGCTTTCACATTATATTTTTTCCAAAATAATTACTATCTGGATTATCTTCATAAGAAATTTTTCTTGAAATTTTCAATTTTGGCCCTGAAAAGCAAATATAATGTTAAATAGCAAAAAAAGTAGAGGGAGTGAATGTAACAGTGAAATGATTCTTTAAAGGAAAAGGCATTGGAGGGAAGCCACGAAGTAATGACAAGTTGGTGGAAACAATAATAAAATTACCGGCGGATATTCCTGGTGTTTCCACTAATCCAACATGTCAGAGTAACCAAGAAACTCTTTATAAATCCGTTACTAGAGGGATATTTTACATTTGTAACACAACAACGAAAAGGACACAAAAATGGGAAAGTTATTTGTGTCAACCTGTTTCGCACAAATGACATTTTCAATGACTGTGATTTTATACCTTGGATTTTATGTAATTGGTGCTTTTTGTTCGTCTGGAGCTCTGGGATTATTGAGTGAGCTACCTGAAGGAGCAGCTGATAAAGGCCCAGTTGTTATAAGTAAGTATAGTTTGAAATGTTCATTCCAAGTGCAGTAGGCCTGGGCCTAGTGGAAATGGTAATGTCTTGTCTTGTACTGTTGTAGTCGTGAATTTGAGGACATTCTATCAAGACCTAGATCTAATTTAACTTTGTCACTTTATGTTTATTCACGTTAGTGGAAAACAGTTCAGATGAATTAAAGAATCCAAGTTATTTATATGAAACAACTAATAATCCGACAACATATACATTACGTGACAAGAAGACATTGTTTTAAAACCTCTGTGGCGGTATGATCAACCTGACTTTTGTCCTTAGAGTTAAGACATTGACAATTTATTATGATTTGAACTAAAGGATCCATTCAATAGATATTAGAAATGAACCCTTTGACTATAGTGAAATACGCCTAATTTGTTTCCACTGCCATTCAGGTATTAATACTAAGGTCAAAGTAAACCTTACTGGCTTACTGACATTCAGTTTTGTGATGCATTCCAATTGAGAAAATTACAAAAATGCTGTAATTCAGAATGATGATGGAGATATTTTCTAATTTATAAGATAGATAAAAGTTATAAACTGATAGCCAGTAATAAAAAAACACATTATAATAGGGTCTCCTCTTTTGTTCTAGTAAAAAAATGTCAAATTTGTAGATCCATTATGTAAAAAAAAAGAGAATTATATTTGTAGCCTTCAGCTAAGTAGGAAATTAGACATCTAGATTATAGATTTCCTAGATAACAAATAGGCAAGGGTCAGTTTTAATGGCTATCAAGGGTTAATATATTAAATTAAACCATGAACACCAGTGGAGCGGATAATTTATATAATAAGCTTAATAAGGAAGATATCACTAATTGACAGTTTAATGATTTAAGAACTTCTCATTTACAAATAAAAAAAATAATTTAAGAACATGTTTATTACACCCATTCCTAAGTGATTTGTAATCAAGTCAGGTACTTATCTAAGGTGTTATGTCAGCAAATTAAAGATCACTTATAATTATTCCTGATCAGTATATGTGCCGGGGGCCAGAGTAGATCGCAATACCAGTATTTAAAAAAACAAAACTTTTCTTATGGAGCGTAACAAGCCCCCTTTTTTTTTTTACATAAACACTGGACCAACTTTTGTTTCATGTCATCCCTCATTGAAATCTGGTTTCTTAACAAAAGCACTAAGACGTTGTTTTGTTACATGGGTGTAGCCAGTGTTATATTCTCTAGTGATATAACTTGTTACATTACTGCACTGGTTTAAAAAAAAATATGGGAAATGATAATATTAAAGAGCTGGAATACTGATATTTTCATTGTGTTGCCTTTTTCAGATTACTAAAATCTGTAACCATAGCAACCAATATCTAAACATAAATAATTGCTTACTTGGCATTGAAGGTATAATATTGCCTAGAATTGGGTGTCAACTCTCACTAAGCAATAGTAAAAAAATATATTTCTTGAAGTCCTGCTTTGTGTATTTGAAAATTGTAGTTTTAAAGGGCAAAGCGCTAAACAGCAAGGTAAAGTGACTTGTGACAATGACTAAAAATTTTCACAGGGATGCCAGAGATATAGATCTGTTAAAAATATTTAATATAATTGAAGGAATATTTTACAATTTAAGCAGTTGGTATTAGATGAGTTTATATAATATTATCTATGAACATTCAGAAAGTGTGGTATTTTTATGAATACAACTTAAAACAACATCTTCACACTGTCAAGGTATTATGAACTCTGGATATACCTTAACATCATCAAGCAGTTTCCATATAAAGTTATCACAACAGTAAATGGAGTGATTTGATTGATATCAACAGAGTTCTTAATACCTTGACATTGTGAAGATAGGCTTTATCTGACTTAAACATTCAACATAATTAGATGTGTTTACAACTGCAATTGATTTTTTTTTGCAAAGAATGTAGACAGATTTCTTCTATAATACCCCAAAATTTATCTTTTCCATTAGATGTAAACTTTGATCAAGATGTTATGAATATTTGCCAGCCATGTCTGATCATATCCCTGTAATTTGTGCCTTTTATTTTGGTTGCCTAAGAAATACAAGATTATCTTTTATTTTTAAACATAAAAGTAGTCTGCAGTACTAAGTAGTTGTTAAAGAAATCTCAAATAAGCATAAACTATAACAAAAACTAACTGTTATATCCCATAAGCTTTTTTCTTATACAGGTTTTGAATTGATAAAGATTTTGTTGATTTCAAAAGTAACTTTTTTTCTTCATTTGTTTTTCTCAATTTCTTTCAATCCAAATATTAGCTTTATTATCAAATAATGTTTAGTTTCACATTAATGCCACTCAGTTCACTAATTAGTAACTCTTTCTAAACATTATTTTGTATAGTTTATTTACAAGAAAAATCTGTGATGAAAATATTTTAATTGGTCATCTCATATCCATAGCTTTGATGTTGTTAAAATGAGAATCTTGTTTATTATTATGCTCTTTTGTCTGGTTCTTTTGATGGAAGAATTCCAGACTCAAACTTTTTCATGTAGAAATCATCAACATAAAAAAATGGCATTTGCTTTTGCAATATAGGCCTAGTAATAGAACAGTTTTAGTCATCTTAATATATGCATTGTGTCCCAAGAATAAAAACCTCAATTGGGTTTGTTGGTAAGGTCATAAACTTTTCTCTCATGATTTAATGTCAAGATCTCTTTTATTAAAATTTAAACATTAAGTGAGATCAAAAATGATACATCTCGGGTTCTGGTCTGAATCAGAACTGACAACATGTAAAAGTCTGTTTCAGTTTTTTAAAAATATTTCTATTTCTGTACATTACCTATTCAAAGCCACAAAATGTTGGCTATGATGTGGCTGGATAAGGTATTTCAGCAATTTCATTTTAATTAGCGAGGGGTGTTAATTTAGTTTTTAATTTGTCTGATTAAATATTACAAATATACCATAAGTATTAAAGATACAAATGTGTGGAGAAGATAATGTTATTATAGAATATTTTCAGAGAAAGATTCTTTAGGTGGCCAATTATTACCTGTCTAAAATTCAAAAAGATCTAACAATGCTAGAACATAGCTAGGAAACAGACAATGATTAAAACATTCACTAAAGAAAGTCTTATTAATAAATGTAATTTCTCCATTATTCTTTTTACCTCTCCAACATCCAACAAATACAGATTTCATGACATAATAAAACTATAATCTTGCCATATATTGTAATGTTTACAATTCATCTTAGTGTAAGGGAAATATTATAATTTGGTGTTTCAAGGCTTATTTATTCAAAAGCATATTTTCTTCTGTGTGATTTTTTATTTGCTTTCCTCTTATATTGTTTCTGATTTATTTTTACTGTTTTATTTTCAAGGTCAGAATCCTTATAAAGGTAAACCATTCTCTGTTATGAATTCATGGTCAAGCAGTGTCCAATCAAGTTTCATACTTGCTCTAAATGTATAAATTGCTCATGAATTTGAAATTTTATCAAAATTCCGAAGGAAAAATACTTGTACATAACACAATGATTATTTGAAAATATTTGAAAGCACCTCATTTAATGAATCAAGGCTTATGACAGTCTGTTCTTTAACTATGCACGTTTTGATGAGCATCATGAAATTTAATTTGCTATTTAAGTATTATAAAGAGGTCTTTCAAAAAGTATATCTGTATGAAGTAAACTTCAATGTGAAATTATGTGAAAACACTACTTGATCCAAGCCAGTTTTTTGTTATTTATATAATTTATATTTTGAGTATAAAATGCTTGTTTAAACAATTTGCCAAACAATACTAGATTTTTGTTTAGATTTGAATTTGTTTTTGATTGTCAATGTGTGACTAATTTGCATATTATGTCGTTACGAATATCATTACTAATGCATCAAACTAAAATCTATATTATTTTGGGGTTTTGTTTTTATAAAATTTATAACATCTTATGCTGTATTCAATATGCATAATAATTTTTGCAATATATTTGAGAAAATTAAAAGCATCAGAAATATTATCATGGCAATCTGTTAATTATTTTCTATATCATATGTGAAAAATTGCCTATTCTGTGAAGTCAGTTAGTAGGTGGTAGAGTTAGCTGTCATTACTAGATAGATTATAACAATATGGACAAGATGGATATGGAAAAGAAAGAAGACAAGAATGATTTCTCTTGAGAAAAGATAAAATTCTAAAAAAAGATGTTTTATTTGTCTTGTGAGAGTTGCACTCTTTTATATTTGACAGCTTGCTTTATTTAATTATCATTCTAGTAGGTTTATAGTAGCCTTAGTCCAAATTTTTGATTATAAATTCTTTTGGCATGTATGTTAAGTCTAGTTTCTAGTTTTAAAAATTTCCCCAAACCTTCACTTAAATTTATACAATTAACTGATTCTTATGCGAAACTCAGGAATAAGGAAATTCAAAATTCATATTTTGGCTTTTATTGATTATTTTCTCAATAGTTAAAACTCTATTTTTAGATTGCTTCATAAGATGCAAATTTATTGATAGCTGATATTTCTAAGAAACAATAATATCTTCAGATTTCAAAATTTACTATTGACTATTTCGCAGATATGTAATTAATAATATTGAGTAGGACTTGGTGTAAAATAGAACACAATTGGTAAAAGTAGGAGATCATCTGAAATATACAAAAGTAAAGTGTATTTATTTTCAAATCATTTATATCTGCATTAAGCGTGTTATTATTAGTTAGAATATATGTATCGTGATATTAATTGGATCTTGGGGAAAAATATCAAAACTTATCAATTTAAATTTCTGAGCTCAGTTATTCAAATTAATAGCATACTCACAAACATGTATGGATAAGTCTGTAATATTTTATTTTTTGAATGAATAACAGTTATTATATGTTATAACATTTGTTTCAGTGAATTAGATTAACTTCTGGAAAAGATCAAGATGTAAAAATGCTTGCACAAAAATCTGCATTGTTTACACTACCAAATTTAATTTGTTCCGTTCAGAAACCACAATCATCAATTGTCTACTGTTCTCAGAATGATTAACTTTTATTATTTCATCTGTTCTGTTTTATCTAATTTTGGATTGTAAACGACGCCTAACTCTTACCCCCCATTTAAAGATATTTTGGTGGTTAATATTTGTTGATAGGTCAAAAACTCATAAGTAAGTTTGAATTGATAGAGCTCATAAATATTATGAATCCAAAATGAATTTGAAATTTTGTATTATCAATATTTTTGTTGAATGCACTAGACCATTCTACAGTACATTGATTCAGGATATTTCACTTCAAATGACAATTATGTATTCTCCCTATATTTTTGTTTCGATATTTTATTCACTTTTATCACCCAACAGTACTGTTCCCAGGTTCATAACACAGGTTCATGTGAACTTGTAGTACAGGTTAATAACTATGCACCATGTAAACAGAACAAAATAGCATTCTGCGAAGTTGACGGCTTAGTTAAAATTGCAGTTAAAGGGCATGAAATTGTTCCAGATAACATAACATAGATTAAAAGTTTCAATTTAGTTATCACATGAACCTGTTTATCTAGATATTATTTGTTACTAGCAAGGACATTTAGTAGAGTGGTAAAAGGTGAAGATCAAAATGGAATGCCCTAAATAGAAAAAGTGTTATGGAACATATGCGTTTAATGATAGTTGTGTGATAAATAGAATCTTTTACATGTGTTTATCTAATATGAAATATATGAAATTTGTTGCTGTGTAAGATCCTCTATATATTGCCTTGACTTATAAGTTATATTTCATTTGTTAATGGTAAAAGTGTTGTTAATTCCATGGTCAATATAAAGGTGTTACATTACACCTATACATAACTGATGAAAAAAGTGATACATGATATCAAATTAATTTGTTTTTATGATCCCGCCATGTTTATGATAGTATTTCTATGTCCTGTAGACATGCATGTTGAAATTGACAAAGATTAAATCTGACCCAAGGTTGTAATATACTCTATAAAACCATCTTCACAACGTCAAAGTATTACGAGCTCTGAATGATGTCAAGATATGAGACGGTATTCATGATAGCTTGACTTTGTGAGGATGAAACAGTCACTTATGTATACCTGAATAAGTGGTAAAATTAAATATATATTAAACAATAAAACAGAAATGAGCCATTAGTTGTTTGGTGACAGACTGACAAGATAAATATTCTGAAAATATTGAAAAAATCATCGATCCTAAATGTAATTATGCTCTAACATACCATTAAATATGATCAATTATTGCTAACAGATCATATTGTGGCTGGATTCTGATTTTTGTGATTTTTGAAAAGAAATATTGAATAAGAAATGCAGAATTTAACTATATCCTTTTCTCCTTTCAAATTCAATTTATTTCATTTTTCCTCAATAGTAATCTGTTTGACCTCTGACATTTTCCTTGTCACAATAAAAAGATCATATTGATCAATGGTCTGGTTACATGTTTCATATTATGCGAACAATATCATATTCCTATCATATTATAAAAATGCAGTTTTTTATTTACACTTTGTAAATCTTAAAGGAATTCTGGCCTATGTATCTGTTAATTTGTGCTTCTCAAACATCACAAGAACCATCCTTGAAGTACCCTAAAATAATGTAGTGAAAAAACTCTTAACTAAATTTTTTTGAGAAAAGCAAGGTCCTCAAACTGTGATTGTGATTTTGTGAGATATCAATTGTCTAACAAGGAGGTCCAAGGATCAATATCTGCTTAGGATAAGATTGTTCCAGTGAAGTTTGTTTTTATATCAATTATCAAGATAGAGAGCTGGCATAAAGAAGACTGGTGTAAGCTCTATTTGGACATCCAGCAAAGATCCATTTTACACACAGCATTATAATGACTGTCTTTACTAGACCAGTAAAATGTAGTCATTTTTTTTTTTTATCAATTTATCTTTTATACTATTAAAATTATTAACGCCATATCTGTTCATTTAAAAAATGCAAATTTAAACAGAATGTCTTTTCTAAAATCTACTCAATTGGAAAAAATAACCTGTCATGTTGGTTTTAACCTTTAAGTACCTCAATCTTGTTATTTAGATATTTTAGGAAATTACAGTGTGAACAAATACCTTTAAATGACACATAGACCTTTAGGTCATTTAGATTTTTATCAGAAACACTAACAATATTCAGGTGCTTTTTTGAAGGAAAGTGTACATTTAAACTCTTTAAATATCAGGTCAAATATGGTCAAGTGTAAGAGAGGGTCAAGTTTTAGATAAGAATATAATAGTTCAGGGATCATATCACATGTTATTGTAGTTATTGATATTTCAATCGATTTAACCAGAAATTATCTCTAATAACACTGTAATTATCATCAATACCAAGATGGTTTTTTCTTCTTTTCTGTTCATTGGCTAATGCCTCTAGGGTGATTCCAAAGCCAAAGAAATCATTTAGCTATATATTATTTATTGATAGTTTATTTACTAATGCTTATACATTTTTTAATAGTAAATTTGAATTATATATGGTGGTTATACTTTATATTCTTGATCTAATAATACATTCATGATTATAGATCACAGGGTTTGCATGAATGTTTTGAAAGACTAATAAAGAGATAATATATTCTTCAATGTCTGATTTCAGCAATCTGTGACTCTTTTCAAATTGGAATTAGATTTCCAGCCTCCTATAACAAAAACATTCTATGGAAGTTTAGGTCCCTCGCTACTTTCATGCCTTTATTTAAACTCCCCCATGCAGTCATGATTTGTGACATCACAATCAGAGGCATATTTAGGAGGAGGGAAATTGAGCCATTGCCTGTGAAAGGTCTTATTTGAATTGAAAATTAAATCCTCCAAATGCTCAAAATTCATCTTGGGCCATCTGAAATCTGTTACGTTCCAGGGCTCTAGCAGACCCTGACCCTCTCAGAGAGAAACCTCTCATTTTTTGTCCCCCAGCAGGCATTTTGTAGATAAGTCCTGGTAATATAACATTGTTGTCTATGTTTAGATTGTAAAGCTGAAGAAGAAGATGATCAATGTCAGAAAGATAAAGTAGGATACGAAGCCATTATTGCCTTACACAGATTAATAGATGATGATACCAATGGTTATGTTGATTTACAAGAGAGTGGTGAGGTAGGTGTCTAATAATTGTTCAAAGAACTTCCAAATCATGCTTTCCATTCCATACCTTACAGACCTCTAAAGATTGATAATTGTATACCCAATTAAGATGAGAAAAGATTGCTGAGTTTTCAAAATGATAAATAACTGAAAGAAATTCAGTATGGTAGTCTAAAAATTATTCATTTTACTAACTGATAGATCTGAGTTACTGCTGTCTGAAACATTTCAATATAAAATTTCTTGTCATTGGAAAATTATAAAAATAAGAAAAAAAAGACCAGATTGAATGACTATAATATGACTACCAATCCCTATTTGCTTCCTCTACGTGACTTTCTGATTGAACGAAAAACAAATAGGTTGTTTTGATCGCTTTTGTATTTTTCTAAATTTTAGTCAGATATTGATGTCACTATCGCAAATATCATTATAGCCAAATTCTAATATTTTTGGAATCAAAGGAATCACAGATGTCAGAGTATAATGTGGAAAGATACAAAAGAAAAAAAAGCGAAGTGGTAAAAGGTTGTCCTTGATAATTTTTCCCTGACCTTCCTGAATGAGTTCAGTTTAAATGTGTTAATAAAACATTACCATCTAATATAAAAATCATTATCATACCAAGATATTAAAGGCATATTATCATCTTATTTTTAACTTTTACTAATATAACCTATCTGGTTTGTGTACAATTAAGGTAAATCTAGATTACAAGAACTCTTTCTGATAATAAAGTCTGGAAAATACAGATCAAATTCAAATGATGATACTTCAGTTAGTTCACATTAAATCCAACCTTATGAATTCAATGTCTGTTCATACTGATTTCTATAGATGGTAAAGCATTACTCTGATTTCTAAAACTAGTTATCCTGATGACGATTGTATATCTGAAACAAATTTCAGTAGCACGAGATGAGACAAAAATTACTTTATGACATTCTATAAAATAACACTTTACTAGTTCCATTTTGTATGAAAGAACTTAAAGTACTGTTGCCTAGCTTTAAAAGCATATATTTAGACAATGTTATGCTTTATGACATGAAGTTTATTAGACTGTTAATAATGCTTCTTACAAACTCATTCTGAAAACCACAACTGTTCCCATCAACTGCGAACTTGAGGATATTTAGAAGACTATATCCCTTAAAATCATTCTTGGTCGTTATTGTCATTATCTGACTTTGGCTGGGTCTATTCTAATAATTAGTCTACATTAATCTCTAAGTGAATTTATAATGTGAATTGGATGGAAACAGGTGAAAGAATTCATTAGTGAAGGATTTAATGAGGTGTTTTTTTTTTTAACTCTAACTAGGCTGAGTAAGCTATATTTTTAACTTAACGTCAGTTAGACTGAAATACAGCTCTATTTTTTCGGTTTAAAAAGGAAGTAAAACACCAATTATTGCATATCATTTTATATCTATATTTTGTTAGGTTTCTCTGGGTTTTATCAATCAGTCTAGCTTTAATGATAACTTAAAAAAAGGGGGGGTCTTCAGCAATTAAAAAATCGGAGTGATAAGTTAGTTTGATAACCATGTCAACTACAACAAGTTCAATATACATCAAACAATCGTACTTAATAAAACTAGAAACAATCAGGAAACGACCGACGAAAACATTAAACAAGCAGGAAAATGACAGGAAACTACCACAAACTATTTTGCAAGAAAGCATGTTAATCTGGCCGAACTTTCAACCTGTCAGCCATTTGTTGAAATGAGAAAATCTGAAACAAGCTTATGACTGCAATATTTTTTTGTTTTTATCCAGGAGGATGATAATTATTTAATGTAACAGGTGCTTGTGTTATTTCAAATTTGATTGAATTTACTAACTTAGTTACATTTAATAGTTTATCGAACCTTTAAGCCCAACGCAGACAAGGAACATTTCTGTCTACGAACAAAAACATCAAACAAATATATTTGTTTTCCGTCATCTGCAGACGACAAACATAATTCCGCAGACGACGAACATTTAGCTCGAACAATACGCCAGTGCCACGGAAAATCACATGACCTCAAAATGGTAACGTCCAGAAGAAAATGTAAAATTGCGTGTGCTATATTATTAATTTTAAAAGAGACGCCAACATAGACGGCGAAATAGGAGCATTTGGGTCCGTACCCGGATTCAACGTCGTAAAGAGCAGGGTGTGTTCGGCAACCTTGTAAATTTTGGTCTTTCGTCGATAAATGTTCGACGCTAATGTTGGTCGTTAACGCAGACGGCGAACAATTATAAAAAAATCAAACATGTTTGATTTCACGAACAATTCTCACAAACATTTTTGTTCGTGTTTCTGTAATCCGCAGACAGGTAAAAAAATGATCGAAACAAAATTTTTACAATTGTTCGCTTAAAATGTTCCTCGTCTGCGTTGGGCTTTACTGATTCAAAAAGGTATAAAAGAGTATTGAATGTGCAAGAATAGATGTGATGTTGGTCAATTTGTGACATAAAGGGTCATCACATATAATAAATCTGCAACCTCTACAAGGTTATTACAATGTGAAGAAAACCCTCAAGAGATGGAATGCTAATTGTGCGGGCACATGTTGTTTCATATTTGTTTACTAGGTGTTTGTTTTAACCCTTGTCTACTTATCTCAAAATTGACTTTTTATACATCTCTCTATGTGGACGTATATTGTCGGCAACCCTGTCCATCTGTCCATCTGCTTGTAAACGCTCTAAAAACTAGATTTTTTAATGGAATCAAATGAAATTCGGTATGTGTATACATATTCATAAATCGAAGATCAAGTTCGAATTTGAGCTATTTTCGACAGTTAGAAGCAGAGTTATTTTCCTTGCCCCAAAATCTTGAATATGCTATTACTCTCTTAGTTTTCAACCGATTTTAATGAAACTTAAAATGGATGTTTTGTTTTTACTATCCGCATGCCGTGAAGGGCGTATATGGCTGTGGTTCACTATATTTAATGTTTTATAATATTGACCAATTATTGATATCAAAACCAATGAGGGATGAGGAAATTTTAATATATGATAGTGTGGTGTTGAAAGAATATTTTTATGATGTTAGGTTGACATTTTTATGTAACAAAGATGAAGAATTGGGTGTAGGTACATCTACGCATAATCCACTACCAGATATATAAGACTGCTTCTGTTGTGTGCCTGATTCATAAAAGAAGAAATAGCATTCTTTGCCATACTAAAACCTGAATATAAGTTATGTAATGGGGCTTAAATTGAAATAATGGTTGGATTGGGAGCCATGAACAGAAACTAGATTTGATCTGTTTAGCTAAACAGTAATAGAAATTTCTTGTTTGGGGTATATTTGAAGAGATTACACAGTTTATATGTAGTTCTGGTACGTCTGAAGATTATTTAAAGATATTCAAGACCCAAATCAACCCCCAAAAGTGGCAAACCATGGCCTTTTTGACTGAAAAGTCTTCTCCACCAGCAAGTACTTGGCTTATAGTAAATGAATAAATTTAGTGATAAATGTTTGAAATTAAAATGTGAAAAAGATTGTTATCAAGTTCTTATTGTATACTTCTCTTTTTTCCATACTGTGTGTATGTGTCATGGGAATTATGAACGTTTCTATGAAGTTTTTTTGGCATTAAAATTCTTGATTTTATGATTATTCTATTGTATCATGAAATCTAGTTTATGGTTTGTTACCACTGCTTCCATAGAAATAGTATGCATCATGAATTGTACAACAGATGTTTATTTTATGTCAATTGAAATAGATCAATGGCAATAGAAGAATGAATAAACATTTTATACATTAAGTTATATTTTCACAGGTGCATTCTACCAAAAAGCATAGATATTTGACATTACATTCATTTTCTAGCTGAATAACTTTATCTGTTTAGATGATAGGGAAATCACAAGAAAAAACATGTATGCATAACATTATGTTCCTATTAGGTCCCCTGGACACAAAAGAATTTGGCATGCACTAAGTGTATTTTCTCACCCAACTAACCCGCATGTACATGATTCGCCTTTCACTCAGAACTAGTCTTAAGTAAGACATATCACAGGAACAGTCAAATTGCTGTTCGAACGATGAGTAAGAGGAGGGAATCCAGTTTTCTTGTTGTTTTACTATTCAGGCAATCAGATATTGTAGGGGCAGGGTAATCTTGCTACAATTCATCAAATTTATCCTCCAGGATTGCTTCTGTCACTTCTGTTCTGTTTCATTGGGTGCCTCCATCTGTAAATGCCAAAAACGCATGTGTGTTAAGTTAGTCAACTGAGGAAATTTAACGCAGTAACCTGTAGGGCCGCACCACTTTCTCCCCCGTGAGAAGGTGCCTATATCTGTACTTTCTATGGGCAGTTTTATCATGCCAGCTTCCCTGGAACTGAAGGCGGATTTCAAGCTCTAGATTTATTGATGGATGTTAGACATTTCAGATCCTCAACTTGTGCCAATTGGAAACCTGAATATTGTTTCTGTCAAAGCATAATGACTTACTAAGATTCTGCTCGTATGACTGACAGGTTTTTGTTAAATACCGGTAGCAGGCAACCCTGCATTCTGGAAAGATGTAAAGGTATCTTTGAGTTCCATTGGTAAAATGACAACTTTGTCATTTTAATATACATGAATTATTTTGCCCACTATTATGTTGTTATCTCACTAACATTAGTAACAGATGTTCAGTTATAGGGAGATAACTAATCTAATGACCATTTTAATTAGTAAATGAATTTATACGTGTCAATATTTTTTTTACTGTGTGCTGAAATATTTTCATGCTACAATTGATGTAATGTTATATGTTAAAAAATTTGGGATAATTGATGTGGATTTATTGACAAAACATTTTCATTGAAAAATCAGAAATAGGCAGTTTTAACTTTATATAATTTAAACTTAATAATTGTGTTCTTGGTTAATTTTGAATAAGAAATTCACAATTGTTTGAAAAGTTACTTGAAAAGTGTAAAGGATCTGTATTGTAAAAGATGAATACTGGTAATTAACTGTGTGAGAGTTAGTTGGGTAATAATTGAACAACTGCTGTGAATATTGAAGAACATATGAACTATGGGGGATTAGATAAGAGACACATCCTGATTGATTCCATTATTGACCTAAGCAATGTACATAAAAGTGGAATGATCAAAGAGAATATATTGCATTATATGACAATATTTACAGACATTATTGATGATACAAGGTTTTGAATATCCTATGAGGAAAATATCAGTTTTGATAGAAACATGAGGAAATATCCCATGAAGAAACTATATTCTGCTGTTTGTATGTTTATGATCAATAGGATTTATAGGATCGCGGTTTGTATTTTGATATCATTATTTTGAAAGAGATATATAAACATTCAATAATTTATAAGCTGATAGAAATTATATTTCTAATTAATAAAGAACATATACTATTCTGTTCATGTCATATTTACAAAACAAAAGAGAAGAAAATGGCTACATGCAAGCATGTTGATATACCTGTTTTATAATCAAATTACATCATGAATTTTTATGCACGGTTTATTTGAAATACTTAAAAGTTCCATGATATAATTTTCAGTATGATTTCTTCTCATACACTCTTCAAAATTCTTCTAAAGAATTGCACATATTGTCCAAAATTCTATTGAATATGACAAATTGCGTGCATAACAATTCTCTGATGTTAAAATTGTGATCTTGTTCCTTGGTTAAGCAAACTCTTCAGCAGCCTCCATGGGAAATGAAAGTGAGCTTGTAAGACCCCTAATAATGTGAATGTATGTTATAAAACATTACTGGGTTTCCATTTCAGTTTCTTCAAGATGAGTTACAGATGAAAGATGGTCAGGAGAAATCAAAACAATTCCATAGTAATGATAAATTGGTCACTGTTGAGGATCTGTGGAGGATCTGGAGAGGATCAGAAGGTAGAGCAACTTATGAAATTAATGAAATGAGTTGCCAGATTTAGTATTACCCGGGCCTTGGCGATGAAAATATTTATTCTGGCAACAAATGTCATTAATTTCACATCGCATAAGCACTAGTGAATGATTTTGTGTATCACACAACTATCAATAAACACATATTTTCCTTAAATTCCTTGCAAAGTAATTTGCATAGTTATTAACTTGTTCATATCATTTTTATGAATCCTTGTCATGAACCTTGGAACAGTTCTGTTGTAGGATAAATCAGCTTTTGTCTTTTGGTGGGTTTATTTTATTGTTAGTTGGGAGGATGTTACTCTTTCATAATGTGCTTTGTAAGAATAAGTCATATCTCTCAATGAAAATGGTTTAATCAAAAGGACCAGACGTTTTAGAAATGCATAACAGAATTTGAATATGAATATGTTTGGATCTTTTGTATATTTTGATGGTATATTATAGTATATAATTGGACAGAAGAAGATGTAGTTCAATGGTTAGATGAACATGTTGATTTACCTCAATATAAAGATATATTTATTTCTAACCATATAGATGGTCAAGCTCTACCCAGGTAAGTATTTATTTCTTATATGTTAACTTTTGTTGACCTCTGAAGTCTGAAACATCTGCCACTATTACAGCCTCTGATAGATATTGACATGAGTCAGAAAAACTAGTCCCAGTTTTTTAGGAGGGATTTTCAAAATGTGTGTTTTTCTAAAATGATAATTACCTTTACGAAGCTGGTGAATTTGTGGGCTATACCTTACTTTCGTTTAGTTAGTATCATTATTCATGTATTAATTCTTGGTTTCCATTTAATTTCTCAAACACAGAACAGTATTAGATTGTATGAATAATAATCATAAATTTTCAACAGTGTCTTTATCATTTTGTCATGTATTTCAATCTGTGATATGTAAACAGAATTTAACAATAATTTGGATATCTCATTTCAGGTTAGCATGTAATAAATCCCCCTATCTATCTGTAATAGGTATAAATAATCCTGTACATAAACAGAAATTATTTCTTAAAGCCATGGACCTTGTTTTATTTGGAGTCCCTAAAAGTAAGTCAATTTTTTTTCTTTGCTGTAATTGGTTTACATCATTTCAACTTCAAAATAGTTTAATACTTTGTATATGTGTTGAATTAGAAATGGAAGAGTAAAGAGTATAGGTAAAGATTGGCTTCTCATCAAATTGAATAAATTTAATAACCATGTGTTTTGTTTTTGTAGAAGTGCACAATTATATAAAAGATATAGCATTATTAACATTGTTAGTGGCAGCTGTAGGAGGTTTCTGGTATGCCTATTTACATAACAGAGACTCACAGAAACAAGTACAGAAATTAATGAAAGACTTGGAATCATTGCAGAGGGCTGAGGATTCACTCAAGGAATTGCAAGAAAAGTGAGTTTTGTTTTTCAATTTCAAACACCAGTAGAATAAATGTAAATGCCTACAAGTTCTCAGGAAAGATCAGAATGATAAAAAGACATAGTAAAATACGCAAAGATCATGAATTGTAATTGTTACGCATGAAGTACTTTAATTAACTCAGTGTCATTTGGTTATTAATATAAATGCTAAATAAGCATAGTAATTATATGACATGATATAGAGTGATAGTTACTTTTAAAATATACCTATATTGAAATGATTGTACATGGAGTGGTAAATGATGAAAGGAAATGATATTTACATAGAAAAAATACCTATAGTAGTGAAATGATGAAAGGAAATGATAATAACATAGAAAAAATACCTATAGTAGTGAAATGATGAAAGGAAATGATAATAACATAGAAAAAATACCTATAGTAGTGAAATGATGAAAGGAAATGATATTTACATAGAAAAAATACCTATAGTAAATGATGTATAAAAAATACGTATTGTAGTAAAATGATGTATAAAAAATACCTATAGTAGTGAAATGATGTATAAAAAATACCTATAGTGGTAAAATGATGTATAAAAAATACCTATAGTAATGAAATGATGTATAAAAAATACCTATAGTAGTGAAATGATGAAAGGAAATGATATTTACATAGAAAAAATACATATAGTAGTAAAATGATGAAGAAAAAATACCTATAGTGGTAAAATGATGAAGAAAAAATACCTATATTGGTAAAATGATGAAGAAAAAATACCTATAGTAGTAAAATGATGAAGAAAAAATACCTATAGTGGTAAAATGACGTATAAAAAATTCCTATAGTAGTAAAATGATGAAGAAAAAATACCTATATTGGTAAAATGATGAAGAAAAAATACCTATAGTAGTAAAATGATGAAGAAAAAATACCTATAGTAGTAAAATGATGTATAAAAAATACCTATAGTGGTAAAATGATGAAGAAAAAATACCTATATTGGTAAAATGATGAAGAAAAAATACCTATAGTAGTAAAATGATGAAGAAAAAATACCTATAGTGGTAAAATGACGTATAAAAAATTCCTATAGTAGTAAAATGATGAAGAAAAAATACCTATAGTGGTAAAATGATGAAGAAAAAATACCTATATTGGTAAAATGATGAGGAAAAAATACCTATAGTGGTAAAATGATGAAGAAAAAATACCTATAGTGGTAAAATGATGAAGAAAAAATACCTATAGTGGTAAAATGATGAGGAAAAAATACCTATAGTGGTAAAATGATGAAGAAAAAATACCTATAGTGGTAAAATGATGTATAAAAAATACCTATAGTAGTAAAATGATGAAGAAAAAATACCTATAGTAGTAAAATGATGAAGAAAAAATACCTATAGTGGTAAAATGATGAAGAAAAAATACCTATAGTAGTAAAATGATGTATAAAAAATACCTATAGTAGTAAAATGATGAAGAAAAAATACCTATAGTGGTAAAATGATGAAGAAAAAATACCTATAGTGGTAAAATGATGAAGAAAAAATACCTATAGTAGTAAAATGATGAAGAAAAAAATACCTATAGTAGTAAAATGATGAAAGGAAAGAATATTTACAAGAAGAGAATTTATAAACTGTTTTTATAGAAATTTATGTTATTGTGTTGATTATTTCAGTATAAATCATTCTGATGGAAATGATGGATTATCAGCAATGCATTACAATACACTGTCAATGCATACAGGTAGACTCAAGGTTTGTGGTATTTCTATTAATCAATGTTTAGATTGGAAGGGGTGAGAGGAAGAGTTTTATATATTGTGCTCACATACACTTGACTTGTGCTCACTATAAGAGCTACTATGTTTGACAACTTTAGTACTTTTGGTGTGTAGGATTGTGAGGTTATCAGATAATTTTTCACCCCTGCACAAAAATGTTAAACATATCAGGTACAAGTTGTTCTCATTCATGGGAGTACAGGTTTTGATCACAAAATGATTAATTTTGACTTGTGGGTTTAAATTAAGGTAATGGTATTCCATATTGATTAAGATGATGATCAAAAATATTTTTATATTGTTTGAATAAGGATGAAAAGTGAGTGGTGCAATTCTATGCTCATTTTTAATGTATTACCAGAAGTTAATGCTGGTAAAAAAATACCAACATTAAATTTTCTTTTTCATCTTAATGGGTGATTGAAACAAGCCTTAGATAATGTTTGATACATTTGTTCTAGGATCCTGAAGATGAAACAGAGGAAGAAATAGAAAGGTATAAGTTAGCAGAAGCAGAATTAGAACAGATCAGAGCATCGTTACGACGAGCAGAGAAAGAATTAGAAAATCAGAATAAATGGTCAGCACCATCACAGTTACAGTGTTGGTTACAATATACACATGAAGTAGAACAGTTCCATTTTAATGCCAAACGTCATGCTGCTGAGCAACAGCTTAAAGCTACCAAAGAATTAGTAAGTCAAGATCTAGCCTCTATTTCTAATAAGATCCTATGATTGTTATCATCCTGTGGCCAGGTTCCTCAATTTAAAAGAATTTACAATTGTTGTTATATTTATTTAAAAGTCTTCATATCAATAATTTAACCTTTGAACTTCTGAAAGTTATGATATATCCTTTAAAGGCTTATAATGGGTGTGTGCCAAATTTGTTGTATAAAATTAGGAAATGAAATTTTGTCTTATTTATGTTATGAATATGTTATGATTTTAGTGTGATAGAATGAAGAAGAGAAACAGAGCATTTTTAGGATCGTTACGGATGGCTCACAGTACATCTTTAGATGATATAGATCAGAGAATTCTAAATGCCAGGTTTGTATTCACTGTGTTTCTACATAGCACATAGTTGAAACTAAAAGGTTTTGGATGTACAAAATTAACAGACTTATAGAAAAGTTAAAAAAAAAAAAAGCAATTTAAGAATCAAGCATAGAGTGCCCAACGAATAAATATATCATGTCCATTACTTAATTTTCAGATCTTCCTTAGCGGAAGTAAAGAATGACATGCAAGAAAGAGTACAAAGATGGTCAGCTATAGAGCAGATGTGTGGGTTCCCTATTATGACTAATCCAGGCATGCCAACATTGAAACAATTATTACAAAGGGAGATTTCTCAAGGTTAGTTATTATGTTTGAACTGAGATAAGCTTATTGTTACACGTTTGAAGTAAGGTATGAATTTTTTGTGAGAAATATCATTTATACAACAGTTGTTTGAAATTTAACATTCAGAACACCAACTTTAGAAATAAAGATACAGTGGAGCCTTGTTTATCCGCACATTCCCGTTCCCGATAAAATTGTGCGGATTAACGAAAATCCGGATAGTTGAAACATGCCATTCCATAACTAGAGATATATCCCTTCCTATAAGGACACCTATCAAATGTCACGTACGCAACGTGATAGACATGTGTATACTTTATAGGGCCAATACGTCATGAAGAACCCTGATTATTTATGATTTTTCATTTTATTTCACTATCATAGCATGATAATAACAATATCATTCCTTAAGATTAGAATTCACTAATTTATAAACATAAATTACCGTGCCGTATCATCGTAGCAATAATTTTTGATGTGTTCCGTAGCCATGATGGAATTCAGGTATGACTGAACGAAAAATTAAATTCAAGTATTACTGTACGAAAGATAGCATACACGTGATCATTAAATTAACCACATATTTTCAAATAACGATATATTAAACACCGATCAACAAGGCATCATGAATAGTACTAATCAAGAAGCCAGTTTCGCTGATATATAAACACAAATTTCCGTGCCGTAACTTCGTAGGGCTCTCATTTGATGCGTTCCGCATCAATAATAAAATTCAGGTATGACTGAACTAAAGATGACATTGAAGTATAACTGAACGATAAATGTTATTCAGGTATGATTGAACAAAATATAGTTTACATGTGATGATTAAATTAATTGCTTAATCTCATAATGAGGATTTATTAAACACCAATCACGCAACATCAAAAATACGGCTAATCCGAAATCTAGTTAGAAGAACTGATGATGAATACTATTTACTATAGAATTTGATAATTGGTTCCCAATCACAGCTGTGCAGAACCGGAAACCGGAGCATCGGATTAACGGTAACTTTTATGTAGTAAATATTCCGTTCCCAGTAAAAAGCGTGTGGATATCAGGGTTTCCGGATTATCGGCAACCGGATAAATGCGGCTCCACTGTATTCCAATATTTGGAACAAAGCACATGAAATCTACTACTAAAGCACAAGCACTAATATTGACTTGTTGTTCTTGACTATGGTTTGATCTGTAGGTAATCATGGTGCTCTACAATCTGGTCTAGGTTCAGTAGAGGATGGTGATGAAGATTTACCGCCTTCATACGGATCTGCTGGTAAGTAGAGTTACCCCCCTTGATATGTTCAAATGTTCAATCATGGTAAAACTCTTATTGTCATAATGTTTGATTCAAAACTTGTTCTTTTAAGGGAATGGGAGGGGAAAAGACAATCAAAGTAAGAATCTTATCTTCTAATTTCATTAATAATAATTGTGGATTTCAGTAATTATAGTATTAGTCCTCGCTCCATATAGGTCAAACCTATGTCATTGATAATGAAAAACTCATATTGTAACGAAAGAAAAGTACAAAGACAACAGCTAAGAATCCTTATACTTGATCAAAATTACAAAAAAAAAACCAATACAGACACAAGTTGCCAAATTGTATATGACCCACCACACCATTGAGTAAATGTGTTGTGAAACTGTTTTATTTAACCCTTTACTAACCAATCTTTATTTTCCTCCCAGTCAAACTTATTAACAGTAAATCATGTAATGGATTAATTCGTCCCAAAACATTCTCAGGTACAATTTTATTCATTTTCCATTGTCTTCTCCTATCTGTCTCTCCAGTATAAAGTAGATGATTTAATTTTAAGTGATCAAATGCTAGAAAAACATAAATGCCAGACCTAATTCTATATTTTTATAGCTGATAGGACAAGTCTTCTACTTTTGATTATTGGGTGGTATACCCAATATGTTGTTTAGGAGAAGATATATAATTTTGGGATTTTGAAAAGTTTTTAATACCAACAACAATTCCTTTAATCGTATCTAATATATTTTAATCTATTGGATACTGGGACTTGTCAAATATGAAAATACAGAATTAGGATTGGCATTCTTTTGATAAAATGTTTCTTCAATTATTGAGAAAAAAAAAGTATTTTATTTCATTAAATTACTAATTCTATTTCAAAACTAAAAAGATATTTGAAATTCAAGTGCATAGCATGAGCATGGTAGTAAAACTAACTTGTCAAAATATATTGTGGATTGTAAATTTGCATTCTTGTTAAATTTTGTGAATAAATACCTTTAGATATAGAACTAAAAGTAATGTCATTAAGCAACAGCTTTAAATGACAATGAAAATTTACACTATTTAGAATATTTATATTTCAAATATGTTTTATTTTAGATTTTGTTAATAAAAAAGTTATGTTATTTTTAGAATTATTAATGTTAGATTTTGAATGTAGGGATATTAAATATAGATCTAGAAATCTAGTTATATAGTAGTTAAAATTAAATCACCTATGTTGTAATTTGTGAATGTGGTGCACCTTGTTTGTAGATCACAGTATTTTATCTTTTCTAACCAGTGTCCATTAATGTCATTATTACTTTTAAATGAATTTTGGGTTGAATTCTACCTAATTCGAAAGGGTTATAAGGTTTCTTTTAATTTTTTACGCCCACATTATAATGTGGTCGTATATTGTTGTCACCCCGTCTGTCCGTCCATAATTGGCTTGTAAATGCAATAGAGACAACAGTTTTTATCTGATTTGAATGAAATTTGGTGTGGTCATTTATATTCATGAGATCTTGGACAAGTTTGAATTTATTCGATGAACGGTTTTTGAGTTATTGCTCTTGACTTATGAAAAACGCGTTAAAATTGGGTTGTAAACACAATAGAGACTACAGTTTTTATCCAATTTCAACGAAATTTGGTGTGAATATTTATAATGATGAGATCTTGGTCAAGTTCAAGTGGCTATCTTTCGATGAACGGTTTTTGAGTTATTGTTCTTGACTTATGAAAAATGCTTCAAAATTTGTTTGTGACTAGAGAGTACAGTTTTCATCTGATTTAAATGAAATTTGGTATTGTCATTTATAATGATGAGATCTTAGTCAAGATTAAATTCGACAATTTTTCGATCAACGGAGTTTGAGTTATTGCCCATGACTTAGTAAAAAACTCATCAAAATTTGTTAGTGATAGAAATTACAGTTTACATCAGAATTTTATTAAATAATTTTGTGTTTGTTTAAATCAACAATATCTTGCACAAATTAAAGTTTTGGTATGATTTGACACAGATGGGTGACTGCTCTTGATATACTGAAAATGTATCAGGAAAGTGGGCGTATCTTGGTAGACAACCACTTGTTCATGGAGCTCTCAGTTAATTACCTTTATATTGAAGCCTTTATGACTTTGTTTAAGAAAGTTTTTGGCTGCGTGGAATTAAAGATAAATGTTTTTTTGATTTGACATCATGGTTGGGATTTACCTTTTCCCCATTCCTCCGGGTGCAAGTGGTATATTTTCACCTATTACAGGATTGTAGTCATATCTGTTATTGTTTTTTAACCCATGGTTGTCAAGATAATGTTCTTCTCCTTTTTTTTAATGTCTTTATTTCACATGTTTATTTCGTTATCACTCACTGTATCAATTGTTGTTTAACATAGTAAAATCAGTTTGACTTTCCAGTAATTATAATAGGGAGTAATCAATTTTTTTTAAAAACTTCATTTGCTTATAACTTGTATGAAAAAAAGTTGGGTTTAATTTGATATTAGATTTTTCAACATTCCATTCAAATTTGCTTTTAGACTATAAGATAGATATTTCAAAATGAATTGCATAAACAGGCACATACTATCATATTAACATTGAAACATATGCTACAATCTTCTGCAAACATACAAGAGCATCTAGCAGTGAATGCAGGTAGCGAAAAGCTCCTACACAGTGGGTATTGATTTATTTTGCCTTGGTCAAAAAGTTTAATGACATACCTTCCTAAAAAGTATCTCAAAATTAGTTATGATTCTTCTTACCCCTAAATGTCGCTAAAGGATTAAAATGTAATTTGTGTTTTAGTTTTGAGACGACAATCTACTAGCAATATACTAGTCTCTAGACAACCTATTAGAAAATTACTACGCCAATCTAGTAAGTTACCGTTTAGGGTAGCATGGTGTTAATCAAGCATCTTATAAGTTACTATTGGGCCTTATTTATACATTTATCTTGATAAGACATGCTGAAAATAGCTTGAGCCGAGGTACAAAATGTATTAGCATTTCTGACCCTAGTTACTTAGTATTTCACATCCCATATAGACAATGAACCATGTATTAACTTTACAAAGCTGTCTGTATGAGCATGTGAAGTGTTGAGTAAATTGATTAAGAAATGGTGAATATGTATATCTTCACTTTTAAAGTTGTAAAGTATAGAGGTGTGCATCTTATATGATATTTTAAAGATTATATATCTCGGATATTCATTTGTTCACCTATCATTATACATACAATATACACTAGTAACCTTTGTCATTAGTTCTTTTTAACAGTCATTCACTCTGGCCTTCAGTTTATTTGATCATCACTTTCTCAACTTGCTTTCATCATTAAAGCTATCATGTCTTAATCAAGTTCATTAAGTAATTTATCAAATCAAACATTTTAATGAAGAATAACTCATCCATGGGAAGGTTTTAGATGCCTTTTTTGTGGGTTAATAATGGTCAATTTGACCACAAGTCCAGCTACTTGTAGAGCACTGAGAACTTGTGTACTTTAAAATATATAATCTGATAGTATGATAGCTTTAACTTTTTAGGCTAGGATGTCCTAGAAACAATGTTAGAATATAAGAACCTAGGATATCCTAGCACCAAGATATTTTCGAGAATACGTGACCTCATCTTCATTACCTTAATCACTTTTTCCACAATCTCTTTTCCATTCTTTCACTCTTTCATTCATTCACTCTTTTATTCATTTACTCTTTCATTCATTCATTTGCCATCAATATT